TAAAATTTTCTCTCTTAAAAAAATTTTATTTCCATCAGAATTTTTACTAGCAAAAATTTTTAAAGGAATAATTCTTGAAATATTATATTATAAAAGTTTCTTAAGAGTTTTCTAAAAGTTATACTTAGGATTTTTTTTTTTTTTTAATAATTCTATTAGATTTTAAATTTATATTCCACCATATATTTTCAACCTTCATTTTAGAATTACTAAAGACTATTATATACTGTAATAATAACGAAAATGTTCTTAAGATGAGTAATGTATTATTTGACTGTATTTTGAATAATAATCAAGTGCTTGAGTTCAAAATATATTTTTTATTTATATCAAAACAAAAATTTTATTCATGCAAATAAATATTTATTTAATTAAAAAAACATACATTATTGAAAAAAAAAATTTTCATAATTGATTTAAAACATTATTTATTTGTTACGATTACTATATTTATAAGATACGATAAAGTAAAACATTTAGGTCTAGTATAAATATTAATTTAGTTCAAATGTATATTCAAGGGATATAACAGACAAATAAATCATTTATTTGGATCAAATATATTTTAATTGATATTTTGGTAGTGAAATATTTAAAAAAGAAATCTTCTATTATATTAAGTTAACAAATTTCGAAAAACGACACCGACCCCGTGACCTCGACACCGTCCTTGAAAAATCTATTTTCAATTATTTTCAAATAAATCAAAATACTTTGCATATATGCTTTTAGAAAATCTTACAAACTATTTTTATGTAACATCTTTTTTCAATTTTAACCCGAAAAAGGGTTATTTTTCAATTTTAACCCGAAAAAGGGTTATTTTGCAATTTTATCCCAAAAAAGGGTTATTTTGCAATTTTTTAAGAATTTTTTGATTTTTTCAATTTTTTATTATTATTTTTTATTATTTATTGTTGTTTTTTCAATTTTTAGTTAGTAATCTATAATATTGTGTCTAATTTTAAGTGTCATTAAAATCAAATGTTTTTAACTTAATAATTTTAACATTTCTTAATTTAAAACGAAACATCTTCTATTATATTAAGTTAACAAATTTCGAAAAACGACACCGACCCCGTGACCTCGACACCGTCCTTGAAAAATCTATTTTCAATTATTTTCAAATAAATCAAAATACTTTGCATACATGCTTTTAGAAAATCTTACAAACTATTTTTATTTAACATCTTTTTTCAATTTTAAGATAAATTTTATACAATATTAATAAGATATCAATTTAAAACATAAATTATATATATAATATACATAAACTACAATAAGTAAACAACAATAAGTACAATTTTAACCGAGCAAGCGAGGAATACATCGCTAGTATTAATAAATGCGCGAAGTAAGATATTTTTCAGTAATATATAAATTCCAATTTACAGTGTTATGAACCTCTTGTAAAATAATTATACCATTTCTTACGTGTCAGATCACGTTATATATCACACAAAGATAAAAAATCTATTTTTTATTTAAATGGTCTAGTCACACATTTTATGCAACATATATGGATATTTATATCCATGTATTGAAAGGGAATTATTTTTTGCTTCTACAAATGCTTGGGTTAATACAATGGGAAAATATCGAATAAAAAAGGAATGGAGGGATTCGATCATGAGCTGCACGTGCTGAAACCTATAATATGATTTAACGTGTTGTTAGTTATTTGTTATCCTATTTTACTTCTATACATTCATACTCATTTGTAAGAAATATTTTAAGTCCTTAATACGTTATAAAATTTCAATAGATTGGGAAATTGAATAAATACACTTGAATCTTCAAATTTAAGTTACATATATATATATGAAAATCAGTTTAAAAATTATTATCATTATTATTGCTTTCAGAAATGATTATCTCGCACACGGAAAAAAAAGTTCGTGAAACTTTCGTAAACTAGTTGTTCACTTTTGGACGGGCCAAAAGTTTGGAAATCTTTTATTATAACTTTTTTCAAGATTCCACAAACTTTTTTTTGTGCGCGTGCGCAGACATTGATTGTCATAAAGAGAGTGATGAACGTTCGTGAAATCTTAGAAAAAGTAAATGAAAGATTTCCAAAATTTGGGACCGTCCAAAAATTTAAAAAAAAATCGAAAAATGTATTTTGAACTAGCTCAGCATCCGCTGGACCAATCAAAAAGAGCGCCATACATTTTTTGTAGACAACTTCCGGGTTAAGACTTTGGTGGTATTCTTGAACGATTATCTCGCAAATTTAATTTTTTGAAATATTTTCTCAACTTCCGAATGGGAAACTACCACGAATAACCATTGGCGTATTAATTGGTCCAATGATGGGAGCCAATGAAAAAACCATTGGCACCCAATAATGGACCATAATTGGTAAAATCATGGGCTGTCCACGTCGATGCCAATGCAATAGTAAAAATTTTAATAATAACATCAATTAAGGTCAGTTAGGGTAAATGGGGAGAGGGGGTAAATGAGGACAAGAAGATTTGGAGCTTAATTTACAGTTATAAAATAAAGTTCAGCGTCAATATTTTAACCTCAGATCACCTGCAAGAGGTTTTGAGTATTGCCAAGCTTTTATCTTGACAATTGGCAGCAAGATAAAAAAAATTATCGCTCAATGCATAAAAACTTGAAAATAAACGTCAAACTGTTTCAGTATTTTGCCTCCATTTCAAAGAAAACAGATTTAAAAATCATACAAAATTTTTTTCTTATTCCTTATGACTCCTATAACAGAAATTCACTTGAATTTTTCATTTTTATCAATTTGGTTAATAATGACAAGAAGTCCCCATTTACCCTGAGTTTTCAAATTTTGGGGTAAATAGGGCAGCTTGTCAATATTAATCAAATTAACAAAAATCAAAAATTCAAGTCAATTTCTGTTAAGAGAGTCATAAGGAATCAGAAAAAAATTTGGCATGATTTTTAAGTCCCTTCCTTGAGATAAACTTATTTTATTTCTATCTATGAAAGTGATTTAAGGAATGTAGACATTGTGATTTAGAGAAAATCAGTATTATTGAACAAAAACAATTATTTTTTAAATTAATTGATATAATGGTAAAGCAGATTCAATTTATCAAAATTAATCTTCTCCTTTGATTTGATTTATGTTATTCTTTACTGTATAAACTTATACTGAACTTTAACCATTATAGCGCCTACCTAGATTTAGTTAATATTTTATATTTTGTATTGTTACTTACGTAACTATTAGAATTTAGGAGTACTTTTGTACGAAAGGGCATGTCCCGTTAATAAATGAAATTGAAATTGAAGTCTGTTTTTTTCAAATGCAAAACAAAATACTGAAAAAAAGAAAAATTCAAAAAATAAAACAATTTCAATTGGTACGACTATTATATATCTACTACAAATTTTGTCAAGTTTTTTCATCCCTTAATACAGTAATATACAACACAAAAAGTCTGTCTAAGAAAGAAATTAACTTTTTTTGAATAAGGGTTGCCTTAAGGGTGGTAAAATGGGTCTTCCTCTACTCGGATCGGGCTGTCAATTTTTTTCTACACTTTTAGGTGTATTTTGTTCAAGAAAATGCATTAAAATCGTCTGCCTAAGAAAAATTGAATTATTTTGGGAACTTTTTTATAATTTTGGATTTATGGGTTAAATGACTTTTAGGTGGTAATAGGTGTCTTCCTCTACTCGGATCGGGCTGTCAATTTTTTTCTACACTTTTAGGTGAATTTTGTTCAAGAAAATGCATTAAAATCGTCTGCCTAAGAAAAATTAAAATATTTTGGGATCTTTTTTATAATTTTGGATTTATGGGTTAAATGACATTTAGGTGGTAATAGGTGTCTTCCTCCACTCGGATCGGGCTGTCAATTTTTTTCTACACTTTTAGGTGTATTTTGTGCAAGAAAATGCATTAAAATCGTCTGCCTAAGAAAAATTAAATTATTTTGGAAACTTTTTTATAATTTTGGATTTATGGGTTAAATGACTTTTAGGTGGTAATAGGTGTCTTCCTCTACTCGGATCGAGCTGTCAATTTTTTTCTACACTTTTAGGTGTATTTTGTGCAAGAAAATGCATTAAAAACGTCTGCCTAAGAAAAATTGAATTATTTTGGGAACATTTTTATAATTTTGGATTTATGGGTTAAATGACTTTTAGGTGGTAATAGGTGTCTTCCTCCACTCGGATCGGGCTGTCAATTTTTTTCTACACTTTTAGGTGTATTTTGTGCAAGAAAATGCATTAAAATCGTTTGCCTAAGAAAAATTAAATTATTTTGGGAACTTTTATATAATTTTGGATTTATGGGTTAAATGACTTTTAGGTGGTAATAGGTGTCTTCCTCTACTCGGATCGGGCTGTCAATTTTTTTCTACACTTTTAGGTGAATTTTGTTCAAGAAAATGCATTAAAATCGTCTGCCTAAGAAAAATTAAAATATTTTGGGATCTTTTTTATAATTTTGGATTTATGGGTTAAATGACTTTTAGGTGGTAATAGGTGTCTTCCTCTACTCGGATCGGGCTGTCAATTTTTTTCTACACTTTTAGGTGTATTTTGTGCAAGAAAATGCATTAAAATCGTCTGCCTAAGAAAAATTAAATTATTTTGCGAACTTTTTTATAATTTTGGATTTATGGGTTAAATGACTTTTAGGTGGTAATAGGTGTCTTCCTCCACTCGGATCGGGCTGTCAATTTTTTTCTACACTTTTAGGTGTATTTTGTGCAAGAAAATGCATTAAAATCGTTTGCCTAAGAAAAATTAAATTATTTTGGGAACTTTTATATAATTTTGGATTTATGGGTTAAATGACTTTTAGGTGGTAATAGGTGTCATCCTCTACTCGGATCGAGCTGTCAATTTTTTTCTACACTTTTAGGTGTATTTTGTGCAAGAAAATGCATTAAAATCGTCTGCCTAAGAAAAATTGAATTATTTTGGGAACTTTTTTATAATTTTGGATTTATGGGTTAAATGACTTTTAGGTGGTAATAGGCGTCTTCATCTACTCGGATCGGGCTGTCAATTTTTTTCTACACTTTTAGGTGTATTTTGTGCAAGAAAATGCATTAAAATCGTTTGCCTAAGAAAAATTAAATTATTTTGGGAACTTTTATATAATTTTGGATTTATGGGTTAAATGACTTTTAGGTGGTAATAGGTGTCTTCCTCCACTCGGATCGGGCTGTCAATTTTTTTCTACACTTTTAGGTGTATTTTGTGCAAGAAAATGCATTAAAATCGTCTGCCTAAGAAAAATTAAATTATTTTGGAAACTTTTTTATAATTTTGGATTTATGGGTTAAATGACTTTTAGGTGGTAATAGGTGTCTTCCTCTACTCGGATCGGGCTGTCAATTTTTTTCTACACTTTTAGGTGAATTTTGTTCAAGAAAATGCATTAAAATCGTCTGCCTAAGAAAAATTAAAATATTTTGGGATCTTTTTTATAATTTTGGATTTATGGGTTAAATGACTTTTAGGTGGTAATAGGTGTCTTCCTCTACTCGGATCGGGCTGTCAATTTTTTTCTACACTTTTAGGTGAATTTTGTTCAAGAAAATGCATTAAAATCGTCTGCCTAAGAAAAATTAAAATATTTTGGGATCTTTTTTATAATTTTGGATTTATGGGTTAAATGACTTTTAGGTGGTAATAGGTGTCTTCCTCTACTCGGATCGGGCTGTCAATTTTTTTCTACACTTTTAGGTGTATTTTGTGCAAGAAAATGCATTAAAATCATCTGCCTAAAAAAAATTGAATTATTTTGGGAACTTTTTTATAATTTTGGATTTATGGGTTAAATGACTTTTAGGTGGTAATAGGCGTCTTCCTCTACTCGGATCGGGCTGTCAATTTTTTTCTACACTTTTAGGTGTATTTTGTTCAAGAAAATGCATTAAAATTGTCTGCCTAAGAAAAATTAAATTATTTTGCGAACTTTTTTATAATTTTGGATTTATGGGTTAAATGACTTTTAGGTGGTAATAGATGTCTTCCTCCACTCGGATCGGGCTGTCAATTTTTTTCTACACTTTTAGGTGTATTTTGTGCAAGAAAATGCATTAAAATCGTCTGCCTAAGAAAAATTAAATTATTTTGGGAACTTTTTTATAATTTTGGATTTATGGGTTAAATGACTTTTAGGTGGTAATAGGTGTCTTCCCCTACTCGGATCGGGCTGTCAATTTTTTTCTACACTTTTAGGTGTATTTTGTGCAAGAAAATGCATTAAAATCGTCTGCCTAAGAAAAATTGAATTATTTTGGGAACTTTTTTATAATTTTGGATTTATGGGTTAAATGACTTTTAGGTGGTAATAGGTGTCTTCCTCCACTCGGATCGGGCTGTCAATTTTTTTCTACACTTTTAGGTGTATTTTGTGCAAGAAAATGCATTAAAATCGTTTGCCTAAGAAAAATTAAATTATTTTGGGAACTTTTATATAATTTTGGATTTATGGGTTAAATGACTTTTAGGTGGTAATAGGTGTCTTCCTCTACTCGGATCGGGCTGTCAATTTTTTTCTACACTTTTAGGTGAATTTTGTTCAAGAAAATGCATTAAAATCGTCTGCCTAAGAAAAATTAAAATATTTTGGGATCTTTTTTATAATTTTGGATTTATGGGTTAAATGACTTTTAGGTGGTAATAGGTGTCTTCCTCTACTCGGATCGGGCTGTCAATTTTTTTCTACACTTTTAGGTGTATTTTGTGCAAGAAAATGCATTAAAATCGTCTGCCTAAGAAAAATTAAATTATTTTGCGAACTTTTTTATAATTTTGGATTTATGGGTTAAATGACTTTTAGGTGGTAATAGGTGTCTTCCTCCACTCGGATCGGGCTGTCAATTTTTTTCTACACTTTTAGGTGTATTTTGTTCAAGAAAATGCATTAAAATCGTCTGCCTAAGAAAAATTAAAATATTTTGGGATCTTTTTTATAATTTTGGATTTATGGGTTAAATGACTTTTAGGTGGTAATAGGTGTCTTCCTCTACTCGGATCGGGCTGTCAATTTTTTTCTACACTTTTAGGTGTATTTTGTGCAAGAAAATGCATTAAAATCATCTGCCTAAGAAAAATTAAATTATTTTGGGAACTTTTATATAATTTTGGATTTATGGGTTAAATGACTTTTAGGTGGTAATAGGTGTCTTCCTCTACTCGGATCGGGCTGTCAATTTTTTTCTACACTTTTAGGTGTATTTTGTGCAAGAAAATGCATTAAAATCGTCTGCCTAAGAAAAATTAAATTATTTTGCGAACTTTTTTATAATTTTGGATTTATGGGTTAAATGACTTTTAGGTGGTAATAGGTGTCTTCCTCCACTCGGATCGGGCTGTCAATTTTTTTCTACACTTTTAGGTGTATTTTGTGCAAGAAAATGCATTAAAATCGTCTGCCTAAGAAAAATTAAATTATTTTGGAAACTTTTTTATAATTTTGGATTTATGGGTTAAATGACTTTTAGGTGGTAATAGGTGTCTTCCTCTACTCGGATCGGGCTGTCAATTTTTTTCTACACTTTTAGGTGTATTTTGTGCAAGAAAATGCATTAAAATCGTCTGCCTAAGAAAAATTAAATTATTTTGGAAACTTTTTTATAATTTTGGATTTATGGGTTAAATGACTTTTAGGTGGTAATAGGTGTCTTCCTCTACTCGGATCAAGCTGTCAATTTTTTTCTACACTTTTAGGTGTATTTTGTGCAAGAAAATGCATTAAAATCGTCTGCCTAAGAAAAATTAAATTATTTTGCGAACTTTTTTATAATTTTGGATTTATGGGTTAAATGACTTTTAGGTGGTAATAGGTGTCTTCCTCCATTCGGATCGGGCTGTCAATTTTTTTCTACACTTTTAGGTGTATTTTGTGCAAGAAAATGCATTAAAATCGTTTGCCTAAGAAAAATTAAATTATTTTGGGAACTTTTATATAATTTTGGATTTATGGGTTAAATGACTTTTAGGTGGTAATAGGTGTCTTCCTCTACTCGGATCGGGCTGTCAATTTTTTTCTACACTTTTAGGTGAATTTTGTTCAAGAAAATGCATTAAAATCGTCTGCCTAAGAAAAATTACAATATTTTGGGATCTTTTTTATAATTTTGGATTTATGGGTTAAATGACTTTTAGGTGGTAATAGGTGTCTTCCTCCACTCGGATCGGGCTGTCAATTTTTTTCTACACTTTTAGGTGTATTTTGTGCAAGAAAATGCATTAAAATCGTCTGCCTAAGAAAAATTAAAATATTTTGGGATCTTTTTTATAATTTTGGATTTATGGGTTAAATGACTTTTAGGTGGTAATAGGTGTCTTCCTCCACTCGGATCGAGCTGTCAATTTTTTTCTACACTTTTAGGTGTATTTTGTTCAAGAAAATGCATTAAAATCGTCTGCCTAAGAAAAATTAAATTATTTTGCGAACTTTTTTATAATTTTGGATTTATGGGTTAAATGACTTTTAGGTGGTAATAGGTGTCTTCCTCCACTCGGATCGGGCTGTCAATTTTTTTCTACACTTTTAGGTGTATTTTGTGCAAGAAAATGCATTAAAATCGTCTGCCTAAGAAAAATTAAAATATTTTGGGATCTTTTTTATAATTTTGGATTTATGGGTTAAATGACTTTTAGGTGGTAATAGGTGTCTTCCTCTACTCGGATCGGGCTGTCAATTTTTTTCTACACTTTTAGGTGTATTTTGTGCAAGAAAATGCATTAAAATCATCTGCCTAAGAAAAATTAAATTATTTTGGGAACTTTTATATAATTTTGGATTTATGGGTTAAATGACTTTTAGGTGGTAATAGGTGTCTTCCTCTACTCGGATCGGGCTGTCAATTTTTTTCTACACTTTTAGGTGTATTTTGTGCAAGAAAATGCATTAAAATCGTCTGCCTAAGAAAAATTAAATTATTTTGCGAACTTTTTTATAATTTTGGATTTATGGGTTAAATGACTTTTAGGTGGTAATAGGTGTCTTCCTCCACTCGGATCGGGCTGTCAATTTTTTTCTACACTTTTAGGTGTATTTTGTGCAAGAAAATGCATTAAAATCGTCTGCCTAAGAAAAATTAAATTATTTTGGAAACTTTTTTATAATTTTGGATTTATGGGTTAAATGACTTTTAGGTGGTAATAGGTGTCTTCCTCTACTCGGATCGGGCTGTCAATTTTTTTCTACACTTTTAGGTGTATTTTGTGCAAGAAAATGCATTAAAATCGTCTGCCTAAGAAAAATTAAATTATTTTGGAAACTTTTTTATAATTTTGGATTTATGGGTTAAATGACTTTTAGGTGGTAATAGGTGTCTTCCTCTACTCGGATCAAGCTGTCAATTTTTTTCTACACTTTTAGGTGTATTTTGTGCAAGAAAATGCATTAAAATCGTCTGCCTAAGAAAAATTAAATTATTTTGCGAACTTTTTTATAATTTTGGATTTATGGGTTAAATGACTTTTAGGTGGTAATAGGTGTCTTCCTCCATTCGGATCGGGCTGTCAATTTTTTTCTACACTTTTAGGTGTATTTTGTGCAAGAAAATGCATTAAAATCGTTTGCCTAAGAAAAATTAAATTATTTTGGGAACTTTTATATAATTTTGGATTTATGGGTTAAATGACTTTTAGGTGGTAATAGGTGTCTTCCTCTACTCGGATCGGGCTGTCAATTTTTTTCTACACTTTTAGGTGAATTTTGTTCAAGAAAATGCATTAAAATCGTCTGCCTAAGAAAAATTACAATATTTTGGGATCTTTTTTATAATTTTGGATTTATGGGTTAAATGACTTTTAGGTGGTAATAGGTGTCTTCCTCCACTCGGATCGGGCTGTCAATTTTTTTCTACACTTTTAGGTGTATTTTGTGCAAGAAAATGCATTAAAATCGTCTGCCTAAGAAAAATTAAAATATTTTGGGATCTTTTTTATAATTTTGGATTTATGGGTTAAATGACTTTTAGGTGGTAATAGGTGTCTTCCTCCACTCGGATCGAGCTGTCAATTTTTTTCTACACTTTTAGGTGTATTTTGTTCAAGAAAATGCATTAAAATCGTCTGCCTAAGAAAAATTAAATTATTTTGCGAACTTTTTTATAATTTTGGATTTATGGGTTAAATGACTTTTAGGTGGTAATAGGTGTCTTCCTCCACTCGGATCGGGCTGTCAATTTTTTTCTACACTTTTAGGTGTATTTTGTGCAAGAAAATGCATTAAAATCGTCTGCCTAAGAAAAATTAAATTATTTTGGAAACTTTTTTATAATTTTGGATTTATGGGTTAAATGACTTTTAGGTGGTAATAGATGTCTTCCTCCACTCGGATCGGGCTGTCAATTTTTTTCTACACTTTTAGGTGTACTTTGTGCAAGAAAATGCATTAAAATCGTCTGCCTAAGAAAAATTAAATTATTTTGCGAACTTTTTTATAATTTTGGATTTATGGGTTAAATGACTTTTAGGTGGTAATAGATGTCTTCCTCCACTCGGATCGGGCTGTCAATTTTTTTCTACACTTTTAGGTGTATTTTGTGCAAGAAAATGCATTAAAATCGTCTGCCTAAGAAAAATTAAATTATTTTGCGATTTTTTTATAATTTTGGATTTATGGGTTAAATGACTTTTAGGTGGTAATAGATGTCTTCCTCCACTCGGATCGGGCTGTCAATTTTTTTCTACACTTTTAGGTGTACTTTGTGCAAGAAAATGCATTAAAATCGTCTGCCTAAGAAAAATTAAATTATTTTGCGAACTTTTTTATAATTTTGGATTTATGGGTTAAATGACTTTTAGGTGGTAATAGATGTCTTCCTCCACTCGGATCGGGCTGTCAATTTTTTTCTACACTTTTAGGTGTATTTTGTGCAAGAAAATGCATTAAAATCGTCTGCCTAAGAAAAATTAAATTATTTTGCGATTTTTTTATAATTTTGGATTTATGGGTTAAATGACTTTTAGGTGGTAATAGATGTCTTCCTCCACTCGGATCGGGCTGTCAATTTTTTTCTACACTTTTAGGTGTATTTTGTGCAAGAAAATGCATTAAAATCGTCTGCCTAAGAAAAATTGAATTATTTTGGGAACTTTTTTATAATTTTGGATTTATGGGTTAAATGACTTTTAGGTGGTAATAGGTGTCTTCCTCTACTCGGATCGGGCTGTCAATTTTTTTCTACACTTTTAGGTGTATTTTGTTCAAGAAAATGCATTAAAATCTTCTGCCTAAGAAAAATTGAATTATTTTGGGAACTTTTTTATAATTTTGGATTTATGGGTTAAATGACTTTTAGGTGGTAATAGATGTCTTCCTCCACTCGGATCGGGCTGTCAATTTTTTACTACACTTTTAGGTGAATTTTGTTCAAGAAAATGCATTAAAATCGTCTGCCTAAGAAAAATTAAAATATTTTGGGATCTTTTTTATAATTTTGGATTTATGGGTTAAATGACTTTTAGGTGGTAATAGGTGTCTTCCTCTACTCGGATCGGGCTGTCAATTTTTTTCTACACTTTTAGGTGTATTTTGTGCAAGAAAATGCATTAAAATCGTCTGCCTAAGAAAAATTAAATTATTTTGGGAACTTTTATATAATTTTGGATTTATGGGTTAAATGACTTTTAGGTGGTAATAGGTGTCTTCCTCTACTCGGATCGGGCTTTTAATTTTTTTCTACACTTTTAGGTGAATTTTGTTCAAGAAAATGCATTAAAATCGTCTGCCTAAGAAAAATTGAATTATTTTGGGAACTTTTTTATAATTTTGGATTTATGGGTTAAATGACTTTTAGGTGGTAATAGGCGTCTTCATCTACTCGGATCGGGCTGTCAATTTTTTTCTACACTTTTAGGTGTATTTTGTTCAAGAAAATGCATTAAAATCGTCTGCCTAAGAAAAATTGAATTATTTTGGGAACTTTTTTATAATTTTGGATTTATGGGTTAAATGACTTTTAGGTGGTAATAGGTGTCTTCCTCCACTCGGATCGGGCTGTCAATTTTTTTCTACACTTTTAGGTGTATTTTGTGCAAGAAAATGCATTAAAATCGTTTGCCTAAGAAAAATTAAATTATTTTGGGAACTTTTATATAATTTTGGATTTATGGGTTAAATGACTTTTAGGTGGTAATAGGTGTCTTCCTCTACTCGGATCGGGCTGTCAATTTTTTTCTACACTTTTAGGTGTATTTTGTGCAAGAAAATGCATTAAAATCGTCTGCCTAAGAAAAATTAAATTATTTTGCGAACTTTTTTATAATTTTGGATTTATGGGTTAAATGACTTTTAGGTGGTAATAGGTGTCTTCCTCCACTCGGATCGGGCTGTCAATTTTTTTCTACACTTTTAGGTGTATTTTGTGCAAGAAAATGCATTAAAATCGTTTGCCTAAGAAAAATTAAATTATTTTGGGAACTTTTATATAATTTTGGATTTATGGGTTAAATGACTTTTAGGTGGTAATAGGTGTCTTCCTCTACTCGGATCGGGCTGTCAATTTTTTTCTACACTTTTAGGTGTATTTTGTGCAAGAAAATGCATTAAAATCGTCTGCCTAAGAAAAATTAAATTATTTTGCGAACTTTTTTATAATTTTGGATTTATGGGTTAAATGACTTTTAGGTGGTAATAGGTGTCTTCCTCCACTCGGATCGGGCTGTCAATTTTTTTCTACACTTTTAGGTGTATTTTGTGCAAGAAAATGCATTAAAATCGTCTGCCTAAGAAAAATTAAATTATTTTGGAAACTTTTTTATAATTTTGGATTTATGGGTTAAATGACTTTTAGGTGGTAATAGGTGTCTTCCTCTACTCGGATCGGGCTGTCAATTTTTTTCTACACTTTTAGGTGTATTTTGTGCAAGAAAATGCATTAAAATCGTCTGCTTAAGAAAAATTGAATTATTTTGGGAACTTTTTTATAATTTTGGATTTATGGGTTAAATGACTTTTAGGTGGTAATAGGTGTCTTCCTCCACTCGGATCGGGCTGTCAATTTTTTTCTACACTTTTAGGTGTATTTTGTGCAAGAAAATGCATTAAAATCGTCTGCCTAAGAAAAATTGAATTATTTTGGGAACTTTTTTATAATTTTGGATTTATGGGTTAAATGACTTTTAGGTGGTAATAGGTGTCTTCCTCTACTCGGATCGGGCTGTTAATTTTTTTGTACACTTTTGTTTATTAATGATAATTCTACATAATGCATTTAGAAAATTATAAAACATAACTTTGTGTAACGTGGCATTTCATATTTTTTCCGTTCAATATATGACCTTTAACAAAATTTAAAATAAAAAAATGTAGAATTGAAGGAAAGTAAAAATTTTTTAAATCTTTAGTAGCGAACTTTGTCAATCGATTTATTGGGTTATTAGGGAATCAAAAAATGTTCAAAGAATAGATAATTTTTTATTTTGAATAAAATAGATTCCTGCATGCATTCCATAAAGTGTGAAATGAAAAATGTTACCTAATGCATATGTTAGGTCTGTAATTATTATCATATTTATAAACAATAATAAATACTCATTAAATATTAAGAAATAACTTTAAATTTTAAATTAAAAAATAATTAAAAATTTCAATCTTTAAAATAACGTTTTGGGTTTTAAGGACATTTTTCCAAAATTTTTATTTATATCTGTGTAAAAATCTTTGTAATTTTTGATAAACATAATTTTATTATTATTCCCAATCAAAAATTGCAGTATTATACCAGAATTCACTACTAGCGCAGTACTAGTTCATTATTGGCTGTCGAAGCTGTCAGTCCGTACTGAACCAGTACTGGTATTTGCATTGTATCAGTCCTGTAGCAGTACCGCCCTTGCAGTACTGTTCCGACATTGAGACATTACTATGGCTAAAATAGATTTTCTATTTAATTACTTTTTATTGTTTAAAAACAGAAATAACTGAAATTTAATTAGAAAATTTAGATTTTCATTGACTTTTAAAAAATATTATAAGGGAAAAGAATATTTGTCAACTTTTATTTAAAAAAATAATTATTTATAAACAAATTTTTTTTTCATTTCATGTCTGTCAGCAATAATACTAGTTCACAAAAAGTTTTAGAGTGACTTGATCGAATCTTTTTGTTTAATTACTTTGTATATAAAATTTTTTTTCAGAGTACCTAAATCTGATCGGTTTATAATGAAACTTTTCATTTTTCATTTAAATTTTCTTCTTTTTTCTTTCCACGTTCTTTAAATCTTAATAATATAACAGTCTAAATAAAATATATTGTTCATTCATAAAAATTTGCTTTGCGTTACTAAAAAAAAAAAATCAGCCATTCAAAAAGTAGTAATGTTCTCCACAATTAATTCGCAAACTATTATTTTAATAATAACAACGCAGCCTAAACTCGTTAAGTTTATAATTGTTATCTTATACATTTAAGTACTATACATACAAGTGGGGACATTTTTTAGTCCCGTATATTAAATAAATAAATTAAATAATTGATTTTTGGAAGATCTAACTTTGTACTAAAAAAATCATCAATATTTTGTTTTCAATTTAATAAATTAATTAATTTAAAATTTTATTTTGTAAAATAAGGAAGTCGATTTTTAAAATTTTATTAAAAATTTAACAATTATTTTATTTCTACTAACCATTGGTATTACATTTAAATTTTATTTTTTAAATTCCTTAATAAGAATAAATTGCATAGAAATTTATCAAGAAATTTTATTTAGATATTTCAAAATTGAACTGAGACAAATTTTCAAGAATTTTAGATTAAAAAATAATAGGGTCGATCCACGCGAAATCATCTGAGAATGATTGATGACGTATTTTTTTAAAAAAATGTATTTTTTATATTATATTTGAAACTCGATAAATTTATTAGTTTTTTGACTATAATATTATCGAACAAATTTTATTTTTTTGTGATTAATGAAAAATAGAATGTTTACGACGCGATTTTGTAACTTGAAATTTTGTACATTTTTGATTTATTTAAATTTAATTAATAAAAAAATGAATTTAATTTAAAATTATTTTGTAAAATAAATAAAATAAGTCGACTTTTTATTAAAATAAGTGTTGGAAAAATTCGTACAATCCAAGGCCTGCTACAGGAGTAGAAAAAAAAACAAAATAAAACAGGTATTAACTATACCGTATTATTCAATTGTGAATGATAAATGGTTCTGGTTTATTTAATTTAACAGCAGGATAGATTATAAAATGTTTTTTTTTCTTGTTTCGTCGGAGAGAAGACTACAAAAATTTGACAGAAAACGGAACTGTAGAGTCCATTTTTTTTCTCTTTTTTTTTAATATATTTATAAAACATTGGCACGCAGTCTCCTCCATATGTACGCAACAATAATTCCCTGTCAACTTTCATTTTATCCGCAAAAATACATTTTTGTTTTAGAATCAATATAACCATCAGCAGAGTGGGTCAAAAGTAAGCTTTTTCATAAGTCTCTTCATCTCAAACTTTTCCAATACAGGAACAATTTTCAACAAAAAACAAAAAAAAAAATGCAAACCTATCGTTTTTCTATGTTAAAAATGAAATATTAGTACTTTTTTTTTAAATCTATATAGAAACTTACAAAAATTCGTTCACCTAAATCGACAGACATATTAAAAGAAATTTTTTTTTTTGCAAATAATTGTTTTAATTGTTTTTTCACACGAAAAAAAACAGTTTAAAAAATGTCAATGTCAGTAAATATTTTTTTGATGTGTTGTAAATTATTTGCAAATTGGGATTGAAATCTGCATTAATGTTTTTTTTTTTTTTTTTTCGTTTAAATAACATTAAATAAAAGTTACATATTATTGTTCCATTACTATATAGAAAAGATATTTAGCAATCAAAAAAATGATACAGAATATATTATGTACAATTACAATCTAATGTGGAACAATTTTCATATTTAAATCATTCACTCAGTGAAAGAACATTCTACCTGCACGTATATCCTTTGCGCCAACATTGGATGTACAATTTTTTTTTCTTTTTTTTTCCTTTTTTTTCATTATTATATTAATAATTAAAGATATTATAATATTCCAGTCTTTACGAGGACGTTTAGACACGGGTGTCAAAAATTAAACTTAAACATAAATATATCTTAGCCAAGCAACATCTCTTTGAAAAAAAAAAATACGTCTTCACTGGAAAATAATATAAATTAGGTAAAAAAATAAAATTTCAGAAAATAATTTTCCCCTCTTACAAAATCATCTACATACACCATTCTTCGAAAGATTATTTAATGGAAGTTTATAAGATCAAGGTGTAAATCAAAAAAGTACAAAAATTAATTGAAAAATTAGCTACGCTTTAAATATTATTATTATTATTATTCTTATGATTGTGCAATTATTTTGGAGACATGTTTTACATGTAGACAAAGATTTCTGCAAATCAAAATAAAAAAAAAAAAAAAAATGAAATAGAAAACGAGATTTACTTTCGTTATTCACTCGGGCTGTTTTGGCACAAAAGAGAGAGAAAGAGAGATAAGAATAATGAAAACTTTTTGCTGGAAACCTTTGAAATTGAAAAAGAGAAATATAATGTGGTGTTATGGAATTTAAATTTCACCACAAGAGAAAATTTACAAAAATAACTAATTTATTATTCATGATATTCATAAATACGCACAAGCTAATAAAAAAAAAATCGCATTTTATTTAATTATAAGAAATTCCAATTTTGAAGCAAAAGTACCTATCGAAGACATTTTTTTTTTTAATTTTTTCGTACGTTTCATATTTTTTGGTGCATGAAATATACAACAATGGTCGTCAAGTCTAAAAATTACTTAATCGATTTAGAACAAAAAAAAAAAAAAATTATTTTTTTTTTTTGTTGCTTGTATTATTGGTACTTTGAGCTATTAACGTTAATGAATAAATAAGCCCCTGTGATATTCATTGTTCTCCTTAACCTATGAACTTTTTTTTTTTTTTTTAGCTTATTAAGGATCTTATTAACTATCAAACAAACAATTTTTTACATCTCATTGTGACAAATTTTTCAATCGTAGAGATACACGCTCCCTTAAATAGTTATTTTCATGTGGAAAGAATCTTCTATATATTTATATATATATAATACTCTGATATTTAACGTACATTGAAGATAGGGAAAAAAAAATTAAAGGCAAAGTGCTCATGGTCGAATATCGATTTTACATACTTAATGCTCCATATGAAGCAGGTTTAGATAAAAAAGAAAAAAGTTTAACGTTATTTTCCGTTAAACTTTTTGAATTATATATTTTATATAATTTCTCTGATATAGTAAAGGATGCAGCGTACTTGGAAGAAATTAGACACTGTTTATGAAACAGTTTCAGTCAAAAAATTTACATTAAAAAAAAAAAAAAAATTAAGATACATCGTACGTGCGAAGTATTTGTTTCTTTTTTTATGTATAGCACATTACTAGTTGAAAAAACATTACACTGAAAACATGTACAAAAACTAGAGTACGCTCCCATCTAACTTACTCTATTCCGTTTGGCAAAATTCTACAAACGTTGACACCAAGAAGTAATATAACAAAACGCTACATAAGCTTTTTTTTTTTTCTTTTCATTTTATATTATAAATCAATTCTTACCTAGTGCTTGATGTTTCTAAAATCGCCCCATTATTAAATACACCATTTTTTTTTTTTTTTTTTCTAAAAAGTTTCTTGATTTTATAATCGATGAAAGATTCTTATCACACACAAAGTTCTATTCGATTTTTCTGTTTTTTTTTTTTTGGAGCCTCTGCGTATAACAATAATGTTAAAAAAAACACACGAGGCAGGCGTGTAATCCCTGCTTTGAAATCAGGAAAACGTGACTAACTATTTGTTCATAATTTATGATTGCTAGTCAACCACGTAAGGCCTTCATATAGTCCATCACCTGTTGTAGCACAGGATGGTTGAACGTACCAATTTCTATCTCTTATTCTTGTTAACCCTAATTTTTCCTGGATCTCATGAGGCTTCATCGCTAGAAAATTTATGAAATTCATTAATTAGAATGTATTGTTAAAAGTGGGGAAAAAATTGGAGCGCATGATTATTCAATAAAAATCATAATTTAAAATTTTCATTTTAAAGAATTTTATTTAACCGCAGCTAATAATGAAAAAAATTTTTGTTTTTAAATATTTGAGTTTGTCACTTAGGGTAAATATTGTATCCTGTAAGTTAGAAGGTGGTGAGTATAATAGCCCCACAGTTGGGGTTATTATACTCAGAAAAGTTTGTTTATTTATAAAATATCCTCAACATATTGGGACGCATGAATATGTTCTAAAAATCATTAGTTAGAATTTTCATTTTATGAAATTTCATTTGTCATAATTATTTTTGAGCCGAATTTTTATTTGTTCGAATTTAGTATTTTGCAGAATTTTCATCAAAACAATTTTCTATATTTCACAATTTTTATATAACCGAAAATTCACTTCACAGAATTTTTCTTTATTTCGAATTTTTATTTAGTAGAATTTCAATGCATAGAATTTTCTTTCTTTCTTTTATCGACTTATTTTAATAAAATGCGACTTTTTTTTACATTTGGAAAAAAATGTAAATAAAATACATTTTTCAAGTATAAAATGTAAATCTTCTTCAGATCTTCTTCAATTCAATTATTTAACAAATTTTGAACTAAAATGATTCTTCACTAAATTAATTATTTTTAATAATTTTAATGAAATACAACACAAATTCAATTATATCAAAATTATTTTTCAATTAAAATTTTTATGAAATTTAACAATTGTTTATAATTTAAAAAAAATATATCACAATAAAATTGAATTATTTTTTTAAAAATTTCAATTCAAAATAAATTAAAATTCAATTATTACCCGAAATTTTAATTCAAAATCAATTAAAAATCAAATAATTATCCAAAATTATCAATTTAAAATTTAATTATTTACCAAGTTTTCAATTTAAAATGAAATAAAATTCAATTATTTTCTAAAGTTTCTATTCAAAATTAATTATCCAAATTTTCAATCAAAAATGAACTTAAATTAAATTATTATCCAAAATTTCAATTAAAATTCAATTATTTCCCAAAATTTTCAATACAAAATGAAGTGAAATTCAATTATTTTCCAAATTTAAAATCAAATAAAATTTAATTATAATCAAAAATTTGAATTCAAAATTAATTGAATTTTCAATAATTTGAATTTAAAAGCATCTAAAATTTAATTTTTTCTAAAATTGTCCATCGAAAATTTTTTTTTTTAAATTTAATAATTTCAATTATAACTCTAAGGAAATTCAATTATTTTTAACTATTTTAATAATATTCTTTGAAATTTCAACTATCTGAAACCATTTTTCAATTAAAAATGATTTTCAAATTATTGTATTTTGTCCGCATTTTCTAATAAATTTTTAGTGAAATCATCTAAAATTTTAATTAAAAATTACTTAAAGTTTCAATTAATTTCAAAAATCTCAATTTTAAATCTTTGAAAATTCAATTAAATTTAAAAAATGTTTTCCAAAAATTGTTTGATAAATTATTTTTAGTTCTGTAAAATTTAATGATTGTTTGAAAATTAACAATATCTTTTGAAATTTAATTATTTCTAAAAATTTCAACTTTAACCCTTCGAAAAGGATTATTATTTAAAAAAAAATTTTTATTTAAAAATCTGTAAAATATTTTTGTTAAAATAAAAAACAAATCCACTTTTTTTTAGGAATATAAATCGACTAAAACGACTTTTTGTGTCTTTAAGTTGATTCGAGGCCTGTGTTTTTATAATTAATATTTAATAGGTATTCGTTGGCCCCTGGTACCTTAAAAATTAATTTTTAAAAATAAATTTTTTTAAATTACTATCTTGTACGAAATTTCCTAGCGCATCTTTTTTCTCATCATAAATTTTTTGTATTTGTACACAATTTTTGAATCAATATACAACTTTTAAAAAAATTTCGTTGGTAAACGTTGTGTACTTCAGCTTCGTGAATTGAATTTTCGAATTTGGAATTTTAAAGAAACTTATTTCGAAATTTGGAAACACAATTATACAACTTTGGCAAAAATGAGAAAAAGAATAATTGTCAAAATTTGACACGTCATAAGATTACTATTCAACAAAATACATGAAATCAGAAGAGGCCAACTTCAAGTTAGGACAGAAGGACAGACCAAGCATTTTATTATTATATAATAATAATTGTGTAATATAGAAAATCAGTCTGATGAAAATTCTGCAAAATACTAATTCGAATAAATAAAAATTCGGCTCAAAAATAATTATGACAAATGAAATTCCATTAAATGAAAATTCTAACTATTGAGTTTTAGAACATATTCATACGTCCTAATATTTTTTTATACAGCTTTAGCTATATGAAATTTTTTCTGCAGTTAGTCTAGATTATGATTAAAAAAAAATATATAATCTAAAAAAAAATTGTATAGCAATTATTTAACAAATTTAAAAGTTAAACATTGAAATTTTACATTAAAATCTACATTTAATTTATTAAAAAGAGCAAATTTTTTTTAAATTAACATTTTTTAGGTTAAGTAAGCAACTCAATACAATTTCTAACAAGCTTTTATGTTATTTTAGGAGAAAAAGTTACAAAATTAACTTGAAAAACAAAAATATTAATGAAAGTTATTTTTTTGAGGTTATGTTCTGTGAAATCTTATAATTTACATATTTCTGGTTTTTTTTACACAAAAGGATAACAAAAATGTATACATAAGATGCACTATACACTTATTTACCTTCGACAATAAAAATTTTCGAAAAGTAATTAATTTTAAGAAATGAGTATAATTACCCAGAGAATCCTGTTTTTTTTTAGTTTTTCGCTCTTTTTTCTTAAAATATGTAATATAAAGTTAGCGCATCAAGTGTACATCATCAAAATTAAATTGACAAAACTTACTTGCAATATTTTGCAAAATACTTATAAAACTCTTCGAAATCCAGTACTTATAAAATTTGCAAACGTGTAAAAAAAATGTTCAGACTTTCATGGCTTTTTGAATTTTTTTCTGTATTTTAATAAAAAAATTAAATAATAAAATTTAGCCTTTAATAAAACTATTAAACAATATTTACACCAAGCGTCAAGTTTAAAAATTCAAAATAAATATTTTATTAATTAAAAACTGGCGCTGAATATAATAGCCCCTGGGGTGAGTAGAATAGCCCCAGTTGACGGTATTTATAATTTTTAAGCAAGATGTAAAGATTTTTGTTATATGTATTTATGATAGAAACAGAAAAAAAATCGTAAAGTTGCGAAAATTAGGTTAAAATTTTCAAAAGTGCGCAAACTTTATAGTATTTTTCATAAAATTTTTGAGTTTTTCGCCAAATAAGGCATAGGTAAATGTTATGTCAATTTACTTCGGACGATGTATACGAAGTTAGCTAACTTTTTATTGTTTATTTTAAGAGAGAAAAGTGTAAAAAACGAAAAAATCGTGATTCTCTGGGTAATTATTAACACTTTACAAAAATTAGTTATTTATTAAAAATTTTGTTTGTAGCATATAAATAATTTAAAAGTGCATCATTTTTATACGTTTTTATGATACTTTTATGTCAGAAAACTAAAAATAAGTAAATTATGAGAAATTCTGTTAAATGCTAATTCGAAAAATAAAAATTCATTTAAAAAAAAATTCTAACTAAAAAAAATTCTTTAAAATGAAAATTCTAATTAATGATTTTTATGGGATAATCATGCGCCCAACAAAATTAGAAAAATTTATTATTATTATTATTATTATTAATATTATTATTACCGCCTGGAACATCTTGTTTATTGGCAAAAATTAGAATAATGGCATCGCGCATTTCTCTGTCATTTATTATTCGATGAAGCTCCTGACGGGCCTCGTCAATTCGATCTCTATCCGCACAATCAACTACAAATATTAATCCTTGCGTTCCTGTATAGTAATGACGCCATAAAGGACGTATTTTGTCCTGCCCACCCACATCCTAAATGAAAAAAAAAAGTAATTTTTAATTAATTACATTTATTATTTATAGAAATTTCATCAAGTTTGTACACTTTTTATTGATTGTTCATTTAAAAGGTGAAATTATTTAAGGTCAAAGCTTCTTCTAAATATAATGAGATACTTTCACATTATTTTCAATATCATATTGTTTTTTTTTTTTTTTTTTTTTTTTTTATTAAATCAGGGATGGCAATCGAAACTGAAACCGAATACTAAAAAAACATAAATTTTTAAAAAACCGTAAACCAAAAGCCTTATTGTAGGTAAAAATTTAAAAATCGTTAACTCGAAATCTAAATTTTGTTTTCTCGGTTTTTAATATAATTAATAATTAAAACTTTGCAATTATGAAAACTAAAACAAATACAAAATTTTAATTAAAAAAATTAATATTTGTCTTGAAAATTCTTTATTGTATTCTATTCGACTATTTAGAGTTTTTATGTTCAGGCTTATAAAATAAAATAAATAAATTATGAGTAATTAATACATATATTTTGTTTTAATTAATTCAAATCCACACAAATATTTTTATTCATACTATTATTTTTTTATTATTAAATATTTATTATTTTACTATTAAATTAATTAATTTCATTCCATCAATAATTAAAAATAATTCTTAATGAAAACTTAAAGTTTGAATTGACTAAAATAAATTTTTAAAAATCAGGACTGAAATAATTTAAATAAAGTTAATTTAAAATAAAAAGAAAATATTTACTTTTTAAAAAAAAAATTATATTTAATATATTTTTTACATTCAATTTTGTGTATTCTAAGTTTTAAAATTCATCTTTTAACCTATTGGCAAATACTCTCTACTGACATTTTATTCAAAGTTATTTATCGTTTAAAAATAAATTATTTTTTAAAACATGACATTTTGAAGTATTTATTAAAAAAAATCTACATGTAAAAACTATTATAAACAGATAATAGGATATTTAAAAACGTATCAATTGATTTATTTGAAAAATTTTCCTATAAATTATTACAAAATTATTAAAAGTTTCAAAAATAAAAACATTTTTTAAATAATTTTAGTTTAAAATTTTTATACAAGTTTTGATACTTTAAAAAAAGTTATTGTTATTCAAACTTTACTAAGCAATTATTGAATTTTTAAAAATCAATTTTTAAAAAACATGAATTATTGAAGTTTTAATTTTTAAATCAAAAATATTATTTTCTTTGATAAAAATATAAATATTTTTTCTGATACTTGTATTATAAAAAACGATTAAGTATTTATTAAAAAACTAACTACTTAAAAATCAATTTTTAAAAAATTTTACGTGAGTAAAAATAAATTTGATTTAAGGAAGTTCTCTCGCAAACAGAAATGACGAAGAGTTAATTATCAAACTTGATAAACTGATAGATAATGGTTTAAAGAAGATGTAGTTAAATTTTTAGAGGTCTAGGTGGATTTTGACAAAAGATATAAATAATTTTCTCTTTTCACATTTAACACGGGTTCTTATGGGAAATTGAATTTTTTGGTCTGAAATCTCAAATTGTGAAAAATCTGACGAAAAGATATTACTGGAACTTTATATACATAAAGTTTAATAGCCAATGTTCACTTACTTTTAATAAAATTGATCAGACCTGGCTTAGGAGACTCACAATTAATTATTTTGTCTAAAAAAACACCGTATTTTGACAATCAGAAATTACTTAGCACAACGCTTGGCAACGTTGCGTCTTGTAGGTTAGGTATAGAAAAAGCGCGAAATTTGAAAGTAATATAAGTAGTATATACATATAATAGTATATTCTTCAAAGATTCATAATAATGAATAATAATTTGAATTTGCTTATAAAAAATTAAGATTTTTAAAATAATAAATTATTATTATTATTATTTAACGAAAATAAATCAAACAATAGCAGACGACACGAAACGGAACGGGGGAAATATAATCTAACGTTGCCAAGCGTTGAGCTAGTACTACGTGATACAAATGAAAACTTAAATGGGCATTGATTTGACTGACGTTGGAGGGAGAGAACTTCCTTAAATAAAAAAAAATCGGATTTATGTTTTTTTTTAATTATGACTTTTATTAGCCCTGAAAAAATGTTTGTATTTCCTTTTTTATTAAAAATTTTTCAAGTCAGAATTATTCTAATTCAAATTTTCGTCTAAATTTTTAAGATGAAATAATTTTGATTAAACATTTTTTAGCTAATGAAGTAATTTTGTTTTATAATTTTAAACAAATATAAAAAAAACTTTTTAATTATTAATTCATAAAAAATATTATTGCAGAGAGGAATTGAGAGTAAGCACGTAATGCAAATCGCGCTTTTCTATTAAAGTCTGCCCCCTCGCGGTCAAAATATCGAAGCTTAGGTGGTTAGCTATATATATTCCTTAAATCGGTGAGGCTACACACATACGCATAATGTAATGGCTAAGCCGAATGACGTTCGGAATTGATCGGGCGGGCTCGTGTATCTTTGCGTGAATTAGAGAAACAAACTGAAAACGAACCGTGCGGGCCTCATCCAATGTTTTGACTTTTTTTCAGACAAAGTATATGAGCCGGTTTTTGAAACAATTCACTAATCGACAATATTTTTAAGGTTAAATTTAGAAATTTTAATTTAAATTAGTAATTAAAATACAATTTTAATTTATTATTTAAATTTCATTTTAAATTTTTATAAAATTTAGAATTCTAAATGTTCTCTCTTCGAATGCATAGTTGAATAAATACGAAATTCGTTTTCAATAAATCTTATCATAATTATTATAAATTTTTAATTAAAAAATGTTTTTCTTAAACGTATGGGTGATTTCACGTGAGATTTCAGTCGACCCTTTAAATTGAGCCAAATTTAATTTTTTCGTGTTCTGTAGTGAAAAAAAGATACTTTCTTTATGCAAATTTTCGAGTTATAAATTTTCAAAATTTCAGTTTTGTAAATGTAGACAAAAAACTGGATTTTTTCAATTTTTGCCAAGAGAAGAAAAGTTCCAGTTTATTTTTTACTTTTCAATAATGTTAACGAAATTTTTTTTCATTTTTTATTAAAAAATAAAAAAAATTTATAAACAAATTAAGTTTTTTTAAATTGGAATATGATTTTTAAAAAAAAATTTTAAACATACCTGAAAATACTAAGAAATACTGGAAATAACTAAGATTATAGGTTTAAATAAACATTTAAACACTGCGCGCAGCATTGTGCACATTTCTGAAAAGTAAAAAAAATTGTTAAATTATTGTTAAAAAATTTTCTTTCATTTTTCATAGTGAAATAAAATTTCAGGTTTCAAAAAAAAATTTTTTAAATAATTTTTAACAATTTATCAATTTTTTTTACTATTCAAAAATGTGCACAATGCTGCAAGTGGTGTTTTTTTTAAATACATAAAAATATAAAACTTATTGACCGACTCTAAATTTTTTCACTAAATCTTCTTATTTCCAGGTATGTTTTAAAAAAATCATATACAAATTAAAAAAAATTTAATTTGTTTATAAAAAATTGTTACTTTTTTAATAAAAAATGAAAAACAAATTTTTTTGATAACACTATTGAAAAGTAAAAAAAACTGACATCATTTTTATAAATATTATCTTTATTTATTTAATTTAGTGAAACATAAATAATAATGTGAAACTAAACACCATAGAATATTCTATACAAATTAATAATGTATTAAATTGTGGGTAATTTTAATAGGTATTGACAACAATGTTTACAATTTAAATTTTAAGAATATTCTCATTTTATTTAAAATTAAATCATTTTTTACTTGGACAAGCCCAAAGAAAAAATAATTAATTAATTTACAAAAACAATTTTTCTGATTTAAAAACCTATATAAAATATTTTTTAAAATTGATTATTTTATTTATTTATTTTAAGTTAAAACATTTAATCTCTTGACAAAATGTTTTTAAATTTAATATTTTAAAAAATGTAAGCTACTTATAATGTGTAAGCATTTACAAATCGAAAATTTAAAAGTATAATATAAAAAAAAATTATATTTTTTTATAAACTATTAAATAGACATAAATTGATTCAATTTTAAATAAAATGAGAAAATTCTGAAGAATTAAATTATAAACATTGTTGTCAGTATTAGGTAAAATTTTTAAATTCTAAAATTTTATTATAATATTACAAAAAATATTTTTCAAAAATTTTAACGGCAAAATAATAAAAAGAATTTAATTTTTCTTTTAATATGACTTTGACAAAAGCACATTATTTCACATTACTAATCTATGATTTAACTGAATTAAATAAATAAAGATAATATTGTAATATCGAAATTTTTTTTACTTATTATAAAATAATTATGAGATAAGATTTATTGAAAACGAATTTCGTACTTATTCAACTATGCATTCGAAGAGAGAACATTTAGAATTCCAAATTTTATAAAAATTTAAAATGAAATTTAAATAATAAATTAAAATTGTATTTTAATTACTAATTTAAATTAAAATTTCTAAATTTAACCTTAAAAATATTGTCGATTAGTGAATTGTTTCAAAAACCGGCTCATATACTTTATCTGAAAAAAAGTCAAAACATTGGATGAGGCCCGCACGGTTCGTTTTCAGTTTGTTTCTCTAATTCACGCAAAGATACACGAGCCCGCCCGATCAATTCCGAACGTCATTCGGCTTAGCCATTACATTATGCGTATGTGTGTAGCCTCACCGATTTAAGGAATATATATAGCTAACCACCTAAGCTTCGATATTTTGACCGCGAGGGGGCAGACTTTAATAGAAAAGCGCGATTTGCATTACGTGCTTACTCTCAATTCCTCTCTGATTATTGAGTCAAATATGTAAAAAAAATTTCATGTTTAACTCTTAAGATTTGAATTTTTAACATTTTTTTAAAAATCCTAATTGAAAAACAAAATTTCCAAAAACTTATTTACTCAATTAAATAATTAAAAAAAATAATCATCAAATGTAAAATTAAATGATTAAAATTATCTTCAAATATTTAACCAAATTATTGAAATTTTCTTCAATTATGTAGTTTAATAATTAAAATTATATTCATTTTCTATTATTCAATCAAATAATGGAAAATATCTTCAAATATTAATTCAAATAATTGAAATTATCTTTAAAATTGTTTACTGTAATGAAATTTTTATAAAAAATATTTTAAGTTAATTCATGGAATATAATTGAGTCAAATGTTTCAAAGAATTATGAGCCAAAAATTTTTGAACGTTCAAATGAACGAAATTTTTTTTTACAATAATAATAATTTATAGATTGAAAAAAATATTTCGTTCATTTGAACGTTCAGAACTTTTGTCTCATAAAAAATTGTTGAATTTTAACTTTCAATTTTTTTTAAAAAAAGGTATAATTTTTTTTTTTTTTTTTTTTTTTTTTTTTTTTTTTTTTTTTTTTAAATCGAAAATAGTGACAAAAAAAATTCGTGAATTCTGAGTGTTGAATTAAATTCAATATAAAACAAATTAAATGTTAAATCTTGTATAATTTTTACAATAAATAAATGGTATTATTATTATTATTATTATTATTATTATTATTATTATTATTATTATTATTATTATTATTATTATTATTATTATTATTATTAAATGCAATTTTATTAATAAATAAAAAAAAAATTTTTCAACTTACCCACACGTTAAATTTAACGTTTTTGTACGTAACAGTTTCAACGTTAAATCCTACTGTAGGAATAGTAGTCACAGACTGACCGAATTTGAGTTTATACAATATAGCTAGAACATATTGTTAAGGAAATCAGATGCAGATATATTTATGTCAAACAATAGCGTCACGCACAATAGAGAAAGTCCTAACTGTATTTAATAGAAAAATTAATATAATAAAATAATGTCACCAAAACTTGATATAATATTGAAAATAAATTAAAAAATTTTCATATTATTATTTAAATATAATCAAAAATAGATGAACGTATAAATTAAAAAAAAAAAAAAACTTCCATAATTTTAATTCTCCTACGATGCTGAAGTACGCAACGTTTTTATGATCAACGATTAAAAATCAATTTTTATTTAACACGGAAAATTATAAAAATTGTTTACCTAAAAAAAATATTTTTTGTTATAATTTTTTGATTAAAAAAAGCCACAAGAAATATATTTCAGGCAAAAAATTATAGAATTTTTCATTTAAAAAAATTAATTCTTTAAAAATTGTTTATCATAATTAAACGTTGAGTACTTCAGGATCGTAATTTTGCTATCAAAATTTGTTAAAATTAGGAATTTTTAATTATTTTACTTCCACGTGGATCCCTTTTTTGTTTAGAAGATAACTTTAACAGATTTTATTGGTTTTAGATAAAATTTGGTAGGCTTATTTATCATATAAATATCTGAAAACTGACCAAAGGATTTTAAAAAATACCCAAAAAAAAAATAATTCTATCGTCTTTTTTCCAAATTTTTTTTTTAATCAAAAAAATTTTTAAATAGAAAAATTTAAGGTTATTTATAATAAAATTGTATTCCTTACGTCAAGACAAATCGATCGATATATATAAAGTATAGTTTTAATTTAAATTTAAAGAATTAATGAAAGTTAAAAAATCAAAAATTCACATTTTGGCTATAAAATTTTGTGATTATTTAAATTTAAGTTTATAGATGAAATAATTGTATTCCTTGCATGAAAACGAATCGATTGGTATATATAAAAATTTTATATTTGAGGTAAATTTAATAAATTAATGAAAGTTAAGAAATAGAAAATTCACAATTTAAGGTGAAAATTTTTGTATTTATTCAAATTCAAGTTTAAATATAAAATAATTGTGTTCCTTGCATTGAAACAAATCGATATAATTGTAAATAATTATAAATTATATATTATTTTTCATTAATAATATTTAGAAATTTCGGGTAAAATGTGAATTTTTGATTTTTTAACTTCCATTAATTCTTTAAATTTAACGCAAATGTATTATTATATATTATCATATTATTATATATTATTATATATTATCAAATATTATTATATTACTTTTGTATGTTTATTTCAATGTTAATGCTTTCTCCACAAGGAAGCACATTTTTTTTGCTGGTCGTAATGAGGAAGTAAAATGTTCATGTAATGAACATCTGAATTTACAACTTGTTTTATTTATTTATTTAATTTAATAATAAATTCTAATTTCGAAAATTTACCATTTAATAGAATTGAATTATTAAATTATTAAATGAGACAAAAAAGAATTTTTTTAAATTTATCAAAATTATATTGCATAACATTTAAAGAAATGAAAAAAATAATTATAATCGAATTAAAATAAAATTTCTCAATACATATAATGGAAGAAAAAAGTAATTTTTATGATTTTAAATATTGAGCACTAACGATAAAGATACAAAATATATTAATTAAATCATAATAATGACAGAGATAAAAAAAAATTTGGCCTCTGGGTTCAGACATAGTTATCAAAAAAAAAAAAACTCTAAAGCGAAAATAATTATCTAAAATGTGGATGTCAGTGATAAAATGAGAATGTGGGTGTAGAGTAGGAAGAAGTAATCACATGTCTTTTCTACAATGTTAAAAGTTAGTCTTAAAAATAATAATTGTTAAAAGTAATATTTTGTTAGTAAAAGGAAATTAAGAAATAATTTTTTTTTTTTTAAAAAAAAAGGATACTGGTCTTTCCGGCAGCATCCAGCCCCAGCATAAGAATGCGCATCTCCTTGTTGCCAAAGATTTTTGACAAGAGTTTGCCCATTCTACTGGCACACTTCCTACACAGCTGGCACCTGCAATAATGACAATTATTATTAAAAATTGATGACATAACAAAAAAAAAAAAACTCATTCATAAGCCGAAAGCATTGTTTATAAAATTCACACTTCAATCTTAAATAAATTTATGAAAATTTTAATTTTTACGAATAATTAATTAAATTTTTTATAAAACAATTTGTCAATTTTTAATGATTTTACATTAATGCAACAAGTGTGTTAGTAAACAATAATAAAAATTCGTTTACGTTAACATAAAACCAAGTAATTGAACAAAATAAGTAAAAAAAAAAGAGAGGTGTTAAAATAATAAACAGTAATAAATGAAATGTTGTTCATTAGTGAACAATAATGACTAACCTTAATATGTAATTGATTTTGCAAGTGGGTGTGGATAGATGTCATATCCTGTTTGTGTAAAACATGATAATTTCACTTTAAAAAAAAAAAAGAAAAACAAAAACAAACTATTATTCGTGTAAAATCTATGTGAATTTTAATATAGTGCGTGAAAGAGTCTAATTTAGGCATTCTATTCAAAGAAAATCAAAATAAAAACCGGTGGCAAAAAAAAAAGGTTAAGTGAATATTTCCACAATGTATACATATATATATACATGTTTGTTGCAAAGTTTTGTAAAATTTATTGACTGTATAAATACCATGATATTATTTAGAGATATGAGTATAGCTGACGAAGCAATGTTTCGAAATATAAAAAAGAGAGGCAGTATACTGGTTTTCTTGTCAAAGTATGGCGTTAAAGATTTAGGAAAACCGTTAACATTTTTTTTTTTACGTACACAAAACTGTAGATCTTGGGCAAACTTTCTTCTCGACTGAAGAGGTTTTATCATTTTTTGATATTAAAACTCACCAAAAAACATCTACACTGAAGAGATAATTTATCATCGACAAGATTGCATATCACAACACATTTTGACTGCGATTTTGACGGCGCTGCCAGAAGCTGTTCCAAAAGGAGAGTCTCAAGTCTTATTCTCATTTGGAACAACAATACTTGTTTCCAAGTTTTTAGCATTTTTCCTCTCGTTCCGAGGGAGTAGCCAATCAGAGAATAGTACCAATAGGCATAGAACGCTTCTTATTGGTTGACGGCATTTTCGTTCATAATTCAACCGCTTTCTATGCATCGGCGGGAAATTTTGATATAAACTGTCAGATTTTAAACTAACGGTAAAATATAACAAAATGATTCACATTTTTTTTTTTAAATTATTCTCTGAAATTCCCGAGATAAGTCAGTTTTTTATGTTGAATAAATAAACTTTTTTATAAACATAAATTAAAGAAATATAAATTAATAAATATATTATTTTTTCAAATTAAAACATGATATTTTTAAAAACTGAACTTTAACAATTTTTTTTTTTGTTAAAATAAAAAAAAATTTTAAATGTTCATAAATTAACTCAGTTTTAATAAATAACAATTTTTTGAAAAATTAAACTAAATTTTTTCGAAACTATAATTATTTTGTAATTTGTATAATTAATTTTTAAATATTTTTCCAAAATCAAATATTTAATAAAATTCAAAATTTGTTATTTTCTAGTCTTGTATAATTTATTTCTAATAAATAATTAAATTTACAAAAGAAATTAAATTTTAATAAATAATTACATTAGGTATTTAGATATTGACTTTTTCACAATAATTAAATAAAAAAATATCAAATTTTTCAAAACAATTGAAATTTTTTAAATAATTGAATTTTCTAAATTATTGTATTTTATTGTTAAATAAATTAGTCGAAATTAGTAGTGTGATATACATTAAAGTGTTTTTTTTTTAAATTATTGGTTTTAGAAAAAAGTGAAATAAAATATGAAAAATATAAATTTACAAAAAAAAAAATTTTTTTTTCAATTAAATTAATTTTGAAAAACGATTTTTTAAAGTAATTCAAATTTTCCTAATTGAATAAAAATAAATAATTAAAAAATTTAAGGTGTTATAATTAATTGTATAATTTAATATTTTAATTTTAAAATATTAATTTTTTAAAAATTAATTTATAAAAAATTCAAAGAATGAATAAAATTGGATTAAAAAAATAATTTAAAATGTTATATAATTATACAATATTAATTTTTTAAAAATCTATTTGTTTAAAAAAAATTGGAATATAATTTTGAATTAAAAATAATAATTAAAGGTTAATTTTATAATTAATTATGTATTTTAATTTTTCAATATTAATATTTAAAACATCGATTTTTACAAAATAATTCATTTCTTAATATAAGTGAAAATAAAAAAAATAATTGAAGTTTACTATTCTTATAATTAATATATATAATATAATTTAATGATTTAATTTTTTAAAATTTGATAAAAAAATACTATATTTGAGAAAAACAAAAAACTTTTTAATTTTTTAATTTGAAAAAATAATCTAAATATAAAATTTATATCTTTAAATTAAAATTTTGTAATTTACGTTTAAACTGAATAAATAAAAATTTATTTCCACTAAAATTTAATGTAAACTAAATTTTGGTATTAAAAATAAAATATTCGTAAAATGCCATTATAAGAATTAGTGTTTAATTTAATTATTAAGATTTACGTACAAAATCTTCTTACATTTTGTTTATAATTGTATGTATTTTTCTCACACTTATAAAATATATATATACGTTCGAAGAATGTATACGAAAAACATGACACATCTATATGTATATAGATCATATATATTCTAATTAATTAATAAATGATATGCTCTTTTATAAACAAAAATTTACAAAGTTGATTTTTTCTTAAATCATAGTTTTTTTTTTACTTTAATGGTTTTAATTGATTATTCGTTAGATTTTTATTATAAAAAATCACTTTAATTGACCAGAATGTCAGTATATTAGTAGTTAAATGTTTTTTTAAATGAAAAATAAATTTAAAAAATTTCACATATCTTCACTTTTCGAATTTTTTAAAACAATTTTTTTTTTAATTTATTTTAGGAAGACTGTTAATGAAAACTTTTAATAGATTAATATTGAAAATTAAAACAATTTGAAAAATAATTACTGAAAAAAATTTTTTTTTTATTCAAATAATCGGTTACTTGACTATTATCAAATATTTCCTCGAACCAAAGAATTTTCGAGACAATTTTATTTGTTTCAAATATAGAAATGGTTTAAATACTGTTTATTTAATTCAAATGAAAATTATTTGAAGCTAATATTTATTTGATCCAAATACTTATTTGATGCAAATATTTATTTGATAGAAACTATTTGATACAAATAAATATTTATATAATAATCAATTAACCGATTATTTGAATGACAATAAATTTTTTTTTTCGTCTGAGTAATTTTTTTTAAGAATAAAAAAAATTCATTAAAACAAATATTTTATTTTGTTGTGAGTAAATATATAAGATAAAAAAATAAATTATATTTGATGGACAAAAGATAAAATTTAATTTATTTTCAATTTTAAAATCATTAAAAAAATTATTTTGTTTTATCATTTATAATATATATAATAAAGTATGTTTTCTCACTCTGAAAAATCGTTTCGAAACGATTCTTCGAATCATCGAAGTAAAATCTTTAATTCTCATGCGATTATAATATATATATATATATATTATATATATTGTAATTATAAATATTCTATCACTTTGACTGAAAGTCGATGGAGTTTTTTTTTATATATATATAACGATATAGAGATATGATAAATGGGAACTGGTATATATATATATAGATAATGTTATATCGAATGCAGTCCTCATTATTATCTTATATAATTATAGTCGATCTTAAGTATAAATCTGTAGCAGTATCAAAATGGTAAAAATAGTGCAGACAAATATGATGAGCACAATAAATGTGAGTCTGAATGAGCGGCTAATGCCGCTTGGCTCTCGTCAAATTGATTCGATTGACGCTTCAAATAATGGACGATTTGGTGTACTTTCCTCTCGTCTATTTTTATTAGATGATGAAAAACAAAGGCAACCCGATTGATTGCGATTTCTTTTTAAATTTGGCTTACTTTCTTTATCTTGCTCGGCTAAACACTTTTGATAGTAGTCATAATCTTTCAAGTACCTAAAATTTAAAAAAAAAATAAAATCGAATTTATTTTAATGTCTGTAATCGGGCGCAATGATTATCCCATAAAAAATCATTAGTTAAAAATTTCATTAAAAAATTTTTTTAAATACACGAAAAAAAATATCTATCTAAAACAGCGATATGTTTCTCTAGAATAACGAAAAATTTCTCTGTTCCAGTGAAACTTATCGCTATTATATGTTCCAGGTGAAAATTTCTTTCTGTGTATAATTATTTTTTAGACGAATTTACATTTTTCGAATTAACATTTGACAAAATTTATTTTTAAAAAAGAATTTTTGGGGTAATAAATTTTTATTTGGCAGAATTTTTATTTTAGAGAATTCTCATTCATCAGAATTTTAAGATTTCTAAATCACCGAATTTTTAAAACGCCGAATTTTCATTTTTCCGAAAAAACATTATTCACAAATTTTTACATAGAAAAAAATTTTAAACACCTTATTTTTATTTGACTTAATTCTTATTTTAGAGAATTATTATTTTATAGAATTTCTTTTTATACAACTTTTTATTTAAAAAAAATTCTAATTTAACCTAATTTAAATTTAGGGTCAGTCACTTTCGTTTGAGAGTTGTTGCGGTCAAATTATTAAGAAATCTAGTTTTGAAATAAGTATAATATGTTAAACTTGAACATTTTCTTAGTTCATTAATCATATTATAATTTTATTTTTTTGTATATGAAATTAATAATCAAGCTCAAGCTATTATCAAACTGCATCTTACAATTAGAATAGTTTTTTTTTCGTTTATTTTTTTTTTTTATTTTCTCTCAACATTTTTCTTTTCTGTTCTTTTATAACTAGCAAAATTAAACGCGCGCCAAATTGAGTATTTAATTATTTGTTATAAAGAAATTAAAGATTAATATTATTAATAATAATTTAATTTATTAGAATATTATTACATATTAAATGATAATAATGAAAATTATATGTTTACAGGCCTCGGATTATACGACTTTTTCCGACTTTTTTCAAAAATACGACTTTTATCGACTTATTTTAATAAAATGCGACATTTTTTTTTACATTTGAAAAAAAATGTAAATAAAATACATTTTTTTTGGTATAAAATGTAGATCTTCTTCAGATCTTCTTCAATTCAATAATTTAACAAATTTTGAACTAAAATGATTCTTCACTAAATTAATTATTTTTAATAATTTTAATGAAATACATCACAAATTCAATTATATCAAAATTATTTTTCAATTAAAATTTTTATGAAATTTAACAATTGTTTATAATTTAAAAAAAAATATCACAATAAAATTGAATTATTTTTTAAAAATTTCAATTCAAAATAAATTAAAATTCAATTATTACCCGAAATTTTAATTCAAAATCAATTAAAAATCCAATAATTATCCAAAATTTTCAATTTAAAATTTAAAATTAATTATCTAAATTTTTAATCAAAAATGAACTTAAATTAAATTATTATCCAAAATTTCAATTAAAATTCAATTATTTCCCAAAATTTTCAATTCAAAATGAATTAAAATTCAATTATTTTCCAAATTTAAAATCAAATAAAATTTCATTATTCTCAAAAATTTGAATTCAAAATTAATCGAATTTTCACTAATTTGAATTTAAAAGCATCTAAAATTTAATTATTTCTAAAATTGTCCATCGAAAATTTTTTTTTTGAAATTTAATAATTTCAATTATAACTCTAAGGAAATTCAATTATTTTTAACTATTTTAATAATATTCTTTGAAAATTCAACTATCTGAAACCATTTGTCAATTAAAAATGATTTACAAATTATTCTATTTTGTCCGCATTTTCTAATAAAATTTTAGTGAAATCATCTAAAATTTTAATTAAAAGTCACTTAAAGTTTTAATTGATTTCAAAAATCTCAATTTTAAATCTTTGAAAATTCAATTAAATTTAAAAAATGTTTTCCAAAAATTGTTTGATAAATTATTTTTAGTTCTGTAAAATTTAATAATTGTTTGAAAATTAACAATATCTTTTGAAATTTAATTATTTATAAAAATATATAATAATAAATAATATTAATATAATAAATAATATTATTAGAAAAAGAAATTTTTATTTAAAAATCTGTAAAATATTTTTGTTAAAATAAAAAACAAATCCACTTTTTTTTAATATAAATCGACTAAAACGACTTTTTGTGTCTTTAAGTTGATTCGAGGCCTGTGTTTTTATAATTAATATTTAATAGGTTTATATTTTACACAACGAATCATTTATGTTTATATAGATATTTTTCCCTAAATGTATTCTTTGGTACAAAAAAAAAATTTTTTTTTTCTAAAAATATTATAAAAATCATTACAGATAATTGAATTTCAGAAGAGTTATAATTAAAATTATTAAATTTTAAAAAGTTTTAGATGAAAATTTTTTAAAATAAGTTAATTTAAAAAGATTTTAAATTGAAATTTTTACTAATTTTATTTGATTTTTTTTTTAAATTGTAAACAATTGTTGAATTTCATAAAATTTTTAATTGAAATATAATTTAAGATAATTGAATTTGTGAAAAATTTCATTAAAATTATTGAAAAAGTAATTAATTTAGAGAAAAATAGTAAGTTCAAAAATTTCTTAAATAATTTAAATAAAGAAGATCTGCATTGTATACTAAAAAAATACGTATTTTATTTAAAATTTTTGTTAAAAAAATGTAAAAAAAAGTCGAAAAAGTCGCATCTTATTTAAATAAGTCGAAAAAAAGTCAGAAAAAGTCGAAAAAATCGTATAATCCGAGGCCTGTTTTGATGTAAAAATTTAAAAATGTCAATTCTGTCAAATGCTAATTCGAAAAATGAAAATTTGTCTAAAAAAAAGAATTATACCTAATAAAATTTTTTAAAATGAAATTTCTAACTAATTATTTTTTATGTGTTAATCATGCATTGAATTACAATTTTTTTTTTAGTGATTTTATGTGAAATATAAATTATGTTTTTTTTTACCAAACTGGAGGCCAACGATGTTCGTTCAAATATTCCTGATTTTCAGGATGAAGAAGTCTCACACTACGAGGAGACATTTTACAAAGTTTATTGTAATTTACACAAAGATGATTCATGCACCAATCAGCGAGTTGATCAGCATTGTGCAGCTGCAAAAAAAAAAGATAATTATTGTCACAACTAATTAATTTCATTGAGTATAATTAAATTAAAAATAAATTAACTTTAAAAAAATATTTTTTCTAAGTAATATAAAAAAATATTTTTTTTTTCTGATTTGTACAAAAATGTCGATGAAACGATTTAATGTGATTTCATATATATTTTTTCTATTTCTCAGACCTTGCATGGCTCCAGTAATCTCAAACAAATTTCCACTGCTTCATTTCCATCGTTTTGTGAGATGCGATCCAAATCTTCAATCACGCGATTTTCCACGAGATTTACGAGACGCGGTAAACAAAGTCTATTTGCCAATTCTAAAAGATTTAAACACTTTGTTGCGATTATAGGAGGCACCTCATCAGTATAAAGATAGCACAATAATTTATGGAAGGTATATTCTCTAACACCGGGAAATACAATCTGAAAAATCAGAATCTTAATTAGTTCTACAGTTTGTTCGAAAGTTAAAAAATAATTAATTTCAAAAAAACAGTATTTTTTTTAATCACATATAATTATAATGTAAATTTCTTATATTAAAAAATTGAATGGAAATTTTACTTAAATCGCGTACAATTTTTGCACTGCTTTCTCGAAAATCACCACGAAACATAGCTTTCATCATATCACAGCGAGCAGCAAGAATTGCTCGATGGGCGGACATACTACCATCATCCAAATCAAAAACAACATCAGCAAATAGTCCTAAAAGTAAAAAAAAAAAATTGAAATACAATATATACCGTAAAATTAATAAATAATAATAAATGAAATATTATTTTTAATGTTTTAACATCGCTTTAAATATTAATTATCATCATTTTTTTTATAACCGAAAAAAATATTAAGAATTTTCTTTCTCCATCTAAAATCGAGACGCATGAATAATGTCTAAAATTAATTTTTTAGAATTTTTATTCGATAGAAATTAAGGAGGTTTGACCCATTAATATAAACTCAAAATAAAAAGTAGTTTATTTAAAAAATATAAAAAATAAAAATTTAATTTGTTTATTAACTTTTGAACAAAATATATTTAATAAAATTCAATTTTTTTGTTAATAAAAATATCGATTTGACTGAAATTTTGCGGCAAAAAATAATTCGAATATAAATAAAAATTCGGCTAAAAAAAAAATTCTACCGTTGTAAAATTCTAGCAAATAAAAATTCAAACAAATTAATTTTAGGTATTATTTATGTGTTTTGAATTTTTATACACCAAATTTTAATTTGTCAAATTTTTTAATTTACAGATTTTCTCTTTACTCAATTTTCTATTTTAAAGAATTCGCTAACTTAACTGAATGTTAATTTAACTTAATTCTCATTCAACTGAATTTTAAGTGATTCCAATTTTTTAAATATTATAATTTTCAATTCGCAAAATTATCTTCAAAATAATAGATTAAAAAATTGACGCTTAATTTTTAAAATTGACCTATCAAAAATTATCAAGATAATCGTGATTGGTAAATTTTAAAAATTGCACCTAAATTATTCTGTCGATCTTTTGTTCGACCAATTGGAATTTTGGGCAAATGAAAATCCGACGTTTTAAGAATTCTACGAAAAATCAATTCGTACAAACAAAAATTCGGCCGCAAAAATATAAAGATTTGAATAATTGGAAATTATAACATTTAACAATTTGAATCACTTAAAATTCAGTTTGAATGAGAATTATGCTAAATTAAAATTTTTTTAAATAAAAAATTTAATAAAAAGAAATTCTGTAAAATAAAAAATCTGACAAATAAAAATTAGGTATCTAAAAATTTTGTTAATGAAAAATTCTCTTAAATGCCAATTCGTAAAATAAAAATTCGTCTAAAAAATAATTATTTTTTAGACGAATTTTAATATAATTAACGAATTATAATATATCAAAATTCTTAAAAATCACTAGCAAATGTTTTTAGAGTTCTGAACGTTCAAATAAACGAAATCAATTTTTTGGTTAATTTATTTTTAAATTACTACAACAATGAATAATAATAAAGTACATTAAAAATTTAATAAATTATTAATTTACTTACGGATACAGAAAGCAATATTTTGTAATAAACTTTGAAATGAAAAAAGTAGTAAATTTTTCGTTAATTTGAACATTCGCAGAACTTGAGGACAATATAAATTATTGTCATATTATATTTTTTTTTCATAAGAATTATAATATTATAAACGAATAATATTTAATACTTAAAGTACAAAATATTAAATTAATTAAAAAAAAAATAAAATACCTTGTTCCAAACACAAATTTTCCAATCTTTGTCTCACAACTTGCTTGTACTGGTTATTAAGATCATTTGTGATAAATTGTTGTTCTCTTGTTTGAATACTGTTAATCACCATCAGCAATTGATGCAACTCAAGAAATTCAGCCGCTTGTCTTATTTCCTGTTGACAAAAATAAAAATTACTTTAATAAATTCACTCAAGAAAAATGTGCCAATTAGGAAAAAAAAAAAAAAAACTTTCATCTAAACTGATTATGAATAGGAGCTAAAGTAGTGACAGTGCACAAGGAATTCGAAGAATTAGAAATCTCTATATAGTATGATAATATATATCTTTGTGACTCTTTAATAAAATTTAACTCTTTCAGTAATCCAATTCCACAGCTCTGAAAGCAATATTTTATTGATAAAAAAAATAACAAAAAAAAATATATATATATATATATTTTTTTTTTGATAAAATTATCCTTTTTCATATAAATATTATTTTCAGTGTATTAAAAACAGAATGAAAATAATTTTAGTCTTTCATGTTAATATATAGATTTATTATTTATATGGGCGATTCTCCAAAAAGAGGGCATTTTCATGTCTTTGACATCTTATAATATTTAATTATTTTCTTTAGACAAAAATTTGTTCGATTTTTCTTCAATATTTTTAATATATGTATGTAAATAAATGATCGAGTTTTGAAATCTTTTTTTAATTCAGTCTCTGATAAATAAGAGACTTTTTCTAATTTATAAAATAGTGATGTTTTTTTCTGTTAAATTTCTACCGTCAACCGGGGCTATTATACTAAAAAAAAAAAAACACTACTTTTTTACTCAATGCTTCACGAAAATTCAGGAATTTAAATAAAAAAATATTTCAACTCTTGTGTTGTGTTATGAACATCAGTCTGAAGGTATCCTATAAGTTAGACGAAAAAAAATTTTTCCCAAAATTATAATATAGAAAATTGAAGTTGGTGAGTATAATAGCCCCGCGATTGGGGCTATTATACTCAGAAAAGTTTATTTATTTATAAAATATCCTCAACATTTTTTTTAAACAGCTTTAGCTATATGAAATCTTTTCTGCAGTTAGTCTAGATGATAAAAACAGAGAAAATAAAAAAAAAATTTTTTTTATAACAATTGTTTAACAAATTTTCGAATGTGTAAAAAAAAAATTCAGACTTTCACGGCTTTATGAATTTATTTCTGCGTTCTGACAAAAAATGAACTATCAAACAATATTTACACCATGTGTCAAGTTTAAAAATTCAAAATAAATATTTTATTAATTAAAAACTGGCGCTGAATATAATAGCCCCTGGAGGGTGAGTAGAATAGCCCCGGTTGACGGTATTTATAATTTTTAAGCAAAATGCAAAGATTTGTATTATGTATTTTTGAAAATAATACAAAAACAAATGAATAATAATAAGAAAAGTTTACCAAGTTTGCTAACTTTTTATTGTATATTTTAAGAGAAAAGTGTATAATAAAGGAAAAAATCATAATTCTCTGGGTAATTATGAACACATTAAAAAATCAGTAACATATTAAAAAAAGTAACATTCATTAATATTAAGATATTTTCAAGTTTATTTTCTCACTTTTTTCTTAAAATACCTTAAAAATATTAGAAGAAACCATATAGTGTTATTTAATATTAATCTAAAAAATATTAATTTGTGGTTTTTGAAAAATATAATTTCTAAAATTTCAAATAAGGTACCAGTATAGTTGTTGGCATAATGTTTTAATTCCAAATTTCTTGTTCTATTCCGTTTTTTAAAAAAAAGTAGGTCCAATAAATAAAAATTGATATAAAAGAAATCGAATTTCCAGTTTACTTAAAAAAAAAAAATCTCTTCCTCGAAAAGTGACCAGTTTCTCAAGAATCGCAGCCATATATGTATATATAAAATCATCGGGCATCGAGTTACATGTATGTGTGACTATGGGTGATCGATGAATGATCAATATATTGCTTGGCTATTGCGCGTAATGAATTTGCAAGTCTAAGAAAAAGCCATGAATGGTAAACGAGATAACTAGATGTGATTATACGTGTGTACATACCACCATAGTGTCTAACACATACATGTATTACTAACCAGTAGGAGCCCAAAAGGAGCTGTCTGGAAGAATAGAACCTTGTTAGTTTCTTTTTTCCTTTACATATAAACTGTATATTGTAAAGGACAGCTGCTAATATTTCAAATATCTAAATTTTACAAAACTATATATTCACCAACCCCTTATTTCTTTTGGTTCAAAATTATCTGTTAATAGTTTATAACGAAGAGAAATTTTTTTATTCGAATCAAATAAAATTTATTTCAATTAAATACGAAAATTTTTTTTCTCCCAGTACTAAATATTTATTTATTTGATTCAAATATAGCACAATTATATTTTTTTTCTTATATAGAGCCCGTTTTCACCGTGTGCGGATAAATTTAATCTTCCAAGAGGTTAAATATATTCTGCGTCTGCGCAGAATGTTTGTATATAGATTTTGCGCAGACGCAGAATATATTTAACATCTCGGAAGATTAAATTTATCCACACACGGTGAAAACGGGCTCATAAAAAATTTATTTTACTGTTAAATTGCTATAAAATTAATCTTCACGCGACTATAATTATCAATATAGAGTGAAAAAGTAAAGAAAAAAAAATTATATTTATTTAATTTTAAAAGTAATAATCTTTATTAATAATTGACTTACTTGTAAGTCGTGATATATTTTGTCTAAGCTGCCAGTGTATATAAACTGTAAACATTGCTTCATGCAGTGAGGAGTTACGAGTTTTGAAAGTGTTATGATTGTTGATTGTTGCTGTACTCCATATGAATTTTCGATCTAAAACATATTTTTAAAACAAAGAAAAATGAAAAAAAAGTCTTATTTTTATAATCGACTGAATCCATTTCAAAACGTACAGACCGACCACCTTCAGGTTGTAGATTTTTCTGTCGATAAAATATGTTATTCTATATGAAAAATAAAGAGACACGTATTTTTTTATTTTTCATAAAAATTATGTTTAACGAAGTTATGGTCATTTGAAGTTTGAATGGTAAAACTCGAAAGAACAATGAAAAAAAATTGTTTCGCCTGTAATTTTTTTTCTAATGAATGCAATCAAATTATTTTTCTTGGATCTTGTAGGGGGTATATTCCTCTTTAAAATCCCATTTAAAATTTGAAAAAAGATTCAAAATTAACAAAACAGGAGATGACTTTCTAAAAATCATTAAAGTCAATTTTCACAAAAACCCCACTTTTTTTCTCTCAAATTTTTACCATAAATTCTTACCAATATGAAGAACCAATCCTAAGAGTTTCAAGCGGGCTAAACAATCTTGTTAGTAAGGAGAAATTTTTTCGAAATATTTTTTTTTGTGAAATTTGAAATGGCTGACGTACATGGCTCGAACTGCCAAACATGATTTTTTGGAAATTAATTAAACATTTTTTAAATCAATAATAAATGTATTCCAATATTCAGTTACTTTAAATGTGTTTTAATGTGCAATAAAAATATTTAATTATTTATATGTGAAAATAATTCATAATAATTTGAAAAAATATTTTTTTAATATTTGAATTATTATAAAATAAACTATCTTGAATTTTTACTTAATCAATTTATTTTAAAATGAAATTTGCAAATATTAATTTCTAAATTGAAAATTAAAACTTTAAGTTTTTTAAAAAATTTTTGAATGATAATTTGAATTGGAAAATATTTCAATAGTATATTACTGAAAGAATCACAATATTTATAAAAAATATTTTTTCTTTTTTCACCTTTTTATTAATTATATATTTATTATTATTGGTCTTAACGATACTTAAAATGTCAAATTATAAATTTTTTAATGTTTAGAACCTGTTTGAAAAAAGTGATTTTATGGTTATTTTCTATACATACATTATTGTTGGTTATAAAATGACTCACTTCAGTTAGTTCATTTGTTCTTGAAACTGCACGTCAGCCATTTCAAATTTCGTAAAAAAAAATATTTCGAAAAAAATTTCTCCTTACTACCAGGATTGTTTAGCCCGCTTGAAATTCCTAGGATTGGTTCTTCATATTGGTAAGAATTTATGGTAAAAATTTGAGAGAAAAAAAAGTGGGGTTTTTGTGAAAATTGACTTTAATGATTTTTAGAAAATCATCTCCTGTTTTGTTAATTTTGAATCTTTTTTCAAATTTCAAATGGGATTTTAAAGAGGAATATACCCCCTACAAGATCCAAGAAAAATAATTTGATTGCATTCATTAGAAAAAAAATTACAGGCGAAACAATTTTTTTTCATTGTTCTTTCGAGTTTTACCACTGAAACTTCAAATGACCATAACTTCGTTAAACATAATTTTTATGAAAAATAAAAAAATACGTGTCTCTTTATTTTTCATGTAGAATAACATATTTCATTGACAGAAAAATCTACAACCTGAAGGTGGTCGGCCTGTACGTTTTGAAATGGATTCAGCCAATCGTATACAATCTAGAATCTAAAATATTAATTTTTAAAGTAAAATTCATTTTTACTTTTTTATATTATGTATATTCTATGGGAAACTTTAAATTGTAATTACTTACCATAGCTAATCTAATACTTTGGAAGGCCGGATGATTCAGTTCTCTTGAAGCACCAGTGGGTTTTGTATCCACTGTTGGCAGTACTTGGAAGCTGGAACGTCTTTTAATTTGTTCCCAAACTCTGAAAAAATACTTTTCATTTTAAATTTAGTATCTAATTTTAGAAATTTTTTTTTTTACAATTATTCAGAAAAATAATCTTTTTTTGGTAAAATCAATACATTAGAATTTGTATTTTTTTCTTTAAATTAAAAATTTTAAAAACCCATACGATAGATTGTTTGGAACCATTAAAAAAAAGTATATAAAAAAATTGCAGATGAAAAATAATAGAAATTGTGGAAGAAATTGAATTTTAAATAAATATATATTAACAGTAAAATTTAAACCAATACAAATTTAAGTTATTTTGAAGTGTTAATTTTATTTTTACACATTTTTGGAACGTAAAACCATATTCTATGATAAACAATTGAAAATAATAATTTTTTGATCATTTTACAATTTTTTGTAAATATTTTAAAAAATTTATTTTTTTTAAAAATGAAATTCAAATTTGAAACTTCTAAAATTTTAATTCATCTAAATTTTAAACGATCTTTTTAATTTAAATTCTAAGTGATCCAAAATTCAATAAATTATAATTTTAATTGGTAAAAAAAATTATTAATTAAAATTTTAATCCTAAAAAGCAAATTCAATTGAAATCAAAACATAAAATTAACGAAATTTTAGTATTCTGAAGATTATAATAGATTGAAGTTTCAAATTATCCAAATTTAAATCGATTTATTCTTCAAATTATCCGAATTTCAGTTTGTTTAATTTTTTATTGATTTAAATTTTAATTCATCCAAAATTCAATTTACCCGGAAATTTTAAACTATTAATGCTAATGATGAAAAATTTCAATTAATAAAAATTTTGATAGAAATTAGTTATTTTGCACGTTAATTGGTATTAACTATCAGTTTTTTTATCACATTTTCGTCACCTATTTTGGATAAATAATTCATTTTTGTATCTATTTTTAAGAAAAAAGGTACTGTGATCTCTGTTTTAATGAAAAGAGTGAAATAAAAAGCATTTTTATCCAACATGCACGGTAAACACGGCTTTCCGTGCATGTATAGCGGGCAGAAAGTAGGCGTTTGTCGCCCGACCACCAACAACGGCGGAAAAAGTTAAAAATAGATGCTCGGTCAGAATTGTCGATTCTGACTTCGTGCTCGGTCAGAAATTGACAACTTTCCGCCCTTGCCACGCAATGTACTATTTTCTAACTTCAAATTATTATAGATTTCTATTAAACTAATTTAATTTAATAATAAAAATTTGTCACGGAAAATTTTGCTATTTCAGGGAAATATCAGAAAAATTAAAATATTTATTCTTGTGGCAACACTGTATATTTTAATTCGCAGTTAAAATTGGTAAAAAAAAATAAAAATATGTTCAAATCTGATATGTTTATCGAAGAAACAGACTGCCAATTCAAATTCAGTGTCAAAGTTAATTTAGAAACAGATTTTCGTTACTCTCGAGTCCAAATTCGTGTTTTTTTGTATATATATGGATAATTTTTATAAAATAAAAAATATTACCTAAAATTATTGACAGAAAACAATTTTAAAAAAAAAGACTTACTTTGTTGGCTTATTTTGATCAATACGAATCAAACATTCAGTATCATCATTAAAATCCCCAAGTGTGGCTTCGCCAAAAGTGCTAACCTAAGAATATTTACAAAATCATTTATATTTATAAATTTTTTTTTGACATAATATTTGCATTTATATATTATTTATTGAATAACAATAATTTACCATACTAGATTCACTGGAACTACGGGGAGTGTATTCTTGAATAAGTTCCATGGCAAAAAGACGATGAAAAGCAGGTGAAGCTGCTGCTAATAGACAACGATGAGCATGTAGAGAACAACTTCCGGTGATGAGTATAACATCAGTGTGAACTGGTTTGGTCCACAATGTTTTCATGTTTTCTTCATACGTGCTAGGTGTGAGGCACACTTCCGGTGGAAGAGGTTTCGGTGGACAGAAGGGTGCCTTTAAATTAAATCATTCTATTTTTAATCAAATATTCAGGGTCCATTTTTTTTTTTTTTTTTTTTTTTTAAAGTAGTATGAAAGATTCGTAATTTTTTTCATATCAGTGGCGAAAAACAGCAAAACTTTGTTTTTTTTTTCAAAATTCGAAATTTTGAAAAAATTTGCCAAATATATTTTTTATGACAAAATTGTAAATTTATATTGTTAAAATATTAGAAATTAAATTTTTTCCCTAACTCTAATGATAATATTTCAAGAGGTTTTCAATTTTTAAAAAATTAAGACAATTTTTTGAAGCAAAAGTTTGAATTGAATTTATTTTAAATATTATAATTTAAGTAGAATTTTTAGAAATTTTGATATTTTTCCAGTACTTTTTATAAAAATTTCCCGATTTTTCACTGATTTCTCTAACAATACTGAGGCGCATGATTTTTCCCAAAAAATTAAAAAGTTCGAAATTTTGATTGATCGAATTACTTTAAATCGATATTTTATTTGGTCGAAATTCTAAAAGAACGACAGTTATGAAAGTCGACATTTTATTTAGACGATATTTTATTTGGTCGATATTTTATTTGATTGAAAATCTAAATGCTCGATATTTAAAGTGGTCGACATTTTATTTGTTCGATATTCTAAATGATAGAAATTTAGAAGCATCGAATTTTATATCCATCGAAATTTAATTTGGTCGATATTTTAAAAGCTCGACATTTTTTTTAGCTATACGAGTTTCCTCTCTATGTTGTTATTATTATTTACATTAATAATTTCAAATTTCCCGCAAAATTTCAATGTACTTTACCGACAAACTACATAGAAAGGAAACTCGTATAGCTAAAAAAGTGTCGAGCTTTTAAAATATCGACCAAATTAAATTTCGATGGATATAAAATTCGATGCTTCTAAATTTCTATCATTTAGAATATCGTCTAAATAAAATGTCGACCACTTTAAATATCGACCATTTAGATTTTCGATCAAATAAAATATCGACTTTCATAACTGTCGTTGTTTTAGAATTTCGACCAAATAAAAAATCGACTGAATAAAATGTCAAACTTCATAAATGTCTATCATTTAGAATTTCGATAAAATAAAATATTAACTAAATAAAATATCGGCCACTTTAAATATCGATTATTTAGAATTTCGAATAAATAAAATGTTGACCATTTTAAATATCGATCATTTTTAGAATTTCGTTCAAATAAAATATCGACTTAATGTAATTCGATCAATTAAATTTTCGACCTTTTTAATTTTTGGGAAAAATCATGCGCCTCACGCAATACTGAGGACTAGTAGAGCAAAAATAAAAATATTTTTAAAAATAAATTACTACCTGCAAAAAAGGCCTTTGTACTTTTTTGAGATTTGTTATCCAAAATCGTTGCTGACGTCTGGCTATTAAGGCTGCCCTTATAGAATTTTCGAAAACCTCATTAACTCCATAATAAGTGAAAACACTCGTCTCGTAATAAGACACACCGAGATCTCTGGCCATGGCTCGTGCCTCATCTGGCATTACCAAATCGCTTTTGCGCGTCGCCCTAAAATAAAAAACAAATTATTATTATTATTTCTTTCTATCATTTAAAAAAAATATTTTTTTTTTGCACAAATTTAACACAAGATTTATTTTTTTGAAAACTTTTTATTTTAGTCTTTTTAAAAATGTTTTTTGATTTTTTTGTCTGGAATTTTAAATTTAAAAAAAAAACGAATTTAAGCACAAATGAGTAAAAGTCAATTAGTACAATTCAACACAATATTTGCTGTTTGAAAATTTTTACTTTTTATATATTTAAAAAATATTTTTTGGTTTTTTTGCCAGATTGAAAAAATTAGAAAAAAAGAGAAATATTACCTCACAAAAGGACTGCGATCACGAAAATAACTCAGATAAGTCTCATCACAGTACATATATCGCAGATCATTTTTACATCCCACAAGTAGTATTGGAGTTTGGGGACAAAATCGTCGAATCTCGGGATACCACATAACTTTGCAATTTCGCAAAGATACGGGATTTGTTATTGAAAAACAAAGCAGTACAACGTCAGACCTAAAGAAAAATTTCAATTATTTATTTTAATTAATATTTCTCGAAACTTTTTTCCATCACATGAATAAATTCTCATATATAAAGAAAATATTAAAAGTTAGACGGTACTAAGAATAAAATTTACTAATTTACCAATTGCTATACATTTATAAATAATCAATTTTGGTTTAATGGCATTTTATAGGACAAATTAAAGAATTTAATTTTTTCTTTTCTTTCAATTTGTCCTATAAAATGCCATTAAACCAAAATAATTGATTATTTTAGTATTTTACTTCATATAATATCTTAATTTATAAATTGTTTTTTTTTATATAAATTTTTTTTAATATTTTATAATTATTTTTATAAATTATATTTTTCATATAAATTCTTGTAATATTTTATATTTTTATAAATTATTATAAAATCTCACCTTCCATATGCGAATTGACGATCTTTTTCGTGATCGCCAAACGTGTCCCAAAGACGCAATGAAACGTTGACATTGTCTACAACTTCCCATGATCGCTCTAGTACCTATATATCAGCATTAAAAAAAAATCCATAATCACCTTAGGTTTTTAAAAAATTAATAAAGCATCACTATGGTTAGAGATACATGTGGTGGTTATATTACTGATTCTTAAACCTTGAAAATCGGAAAAACGACATGAATTTAGCCTTGAAAAAACCATAAAATTGATTTTTTAATCTATCTTGCATTTTAAAATTTTTTTAATTTTTTTAAAGATTCGCATTTTGATTTTCTTTTAAAATAAAAACTTGTGATTATTGTGCTATACTTTTTAATCTACTTTGATATCAAAATTTTTTTTTTTTGAAAAGTCAAAATTTATCCAAGTGAAAACAAATTTTAGAACAGATTTTTTATAACCTTTGAACTGATAGGTATAAAATAATTACACTTAGTGCATTCCACACGGTCTGTCAGACCACTATTCTTTTTTTAATGTTTTCTTTAGTGGTTTTAACTTATGTAATGTATTTTTTTAAATTTTTACATTGAAAAGTCTATTTTATTATTATTTTATTTATAAATAATTGATTATAGTTTATAGTTTTTATGATCAAATTAATATCAGGCAATACTTAATTAAGTTTTACAGATTTTGAAATAAAAATTTTTTTTTAATAATACTAATTTTGGAAGAGTTAAAGTTGAAACTTTTAGAAATATAATTGAATTTCAAAAGATATTCTTAATTTTTAGACAATAATTAAATTTTACAGAATTAAAAATAAATAATTTATCAAATAATTTTAGATAAAATTTTTTAAAAGTAAATGGATTTTTAAAGATTTACAATTTAGATTTTTAAAATTAATTGAACTTCAAGTGATTTTTAATTAAAAATTTTAGATGATTTCTGTTACTAAAAAATTTATTAGAAATTGCCGACAAATATACAAAAATTTAAAAACAAAGTGAAAAATGGTTTCAGATAGTTGAATTTTCGAAGAATATCATAAAAAGCATTAAAAATAATTAAATTTCAGGAAAGTTATAATAGAAATTATAAAAATTCAAAAATTTTTAGAAATGACAAAATCGCTATTTTTCACAAATTACGTAAGTTTCTTCCTTTAAAAGGTAATATTTGGGGGTTTATTTTTTTAAGTTGTTATTTACGTTCCCAGGATTAATTTTATGCAGCAGAAAAAAATTTAGATAAGCTTTAAACGCATGAAACTAACTGTCTCCATTTACCCCAAAATTTAGAAAATTTCATAAAATTTGGGGTTAATGGGGACAGCATAGTTTCTAAGAAAGTTTTAAGAAAAAAGTTTCCTTAAGTATATTACTGTATTAAGGGATGAAAAAACTTGAAAAAAAATTATAGTAGATATATAATAGTTGAACCAATTGAAATTTATTTATTTTTTTTATTTTTTTTTATTTCAGTATTTTGTCTCGCATTTGAAAAAAAAACAGACTTAAAAATCATACAAAATTTTTTTCTTATTCCTTATGACTCCCATAACAGAAATTCACTTGAATTTTTGATTTTTGTTAATTTGGTTAATAATGACAAGCTGTCCCCATTTACACCAAAAATTTGAAAACTCAGGGTAAATGGGAAATAATTAAATTTCAAGTGATTTTAAATTAAAAATTTTTGGTAATTTTTTTTTAAATTATAAGCAATTATTAAATATTCATGAAAATTTTAATTGAAAAATGATAATTGAATTTGTGAAGAATTTCATTAAAATTTTTAAAAATAATTAATTTATAGTGAAAAATTTTAGTTAAAAATTTGTTAAATAATTAAAATCAAGAAGATCTGAACAAGATCTGCATTGTATATCGACTAAAAAACGTATTTTGTTTAAAAATTTTTGTAAAAAAAATGTAAAAAAAAGGTCGAAAAAGTCGCATTTTATTAAAATAAGTCGAAAAAGTCGTATAATCCGATGCCTGTAAGTGCAAAACATTTTCTCAAATAATTGAATTTCTCAAAATATTAAAAAAATTTAGTAATTTTTCTTTTTGTCGCATTTGTATATATTCAAAAATTGTTTTCGTAGCTCTAAAAGAAGTTTTTTTTTTTTTTTTTATAAATATTTTGGATCAAATTTTGATTTTTTAATGCAATTTTTTGATGACATGAAATTTTTTGTATATTTTTCTGTAACTTAACACGATGTATAACAAAATTGTTATTTTTTAATATACTTATTTAAATTTATTTCTACTTTGCATAATAACATAATTAGTCTTAATTTAAAAAACTTACGAATTTTTTTCAAAAACATAAAAAAAGCCTTGAATTTTATTTTCAAATTTTAATGACCACCGCCCGAGTTAAAAAAAAAGAGGGAAAATAAAAAACGTTGTTTTGTTTGGCCAATCATAACGCGCAAATAGTTACTCATAAAACAAATATTGATTCTTTTGCTCCACATTTACTCTAAGAAGTGCATTAAAGTTGGAGTTTAAAAGTTGTAAAATATATAATGTTTTAAAATTCAAAACAGCTTGACATATACTACTTTGACAAACAGTACAGTAGTTATTTAACGGTTGGTGACGTTTGTCGTATTTATGATTATTTTCCTTGCTACCTATATATATATATATATATAGTAAAAATGGAAAAATTTCACATTTTAAATTTCGATTTACATAAACAGTCATATATACATATGTATTGTTTCAGAAAATATTTGTCATATATATATTTTTATAAAACTAAATTCTAAGAGAAAAAAAATGATACAAATAATTGTTTTTTTTTTAATTTTAAGACATACATGTATTTTAGTAGCATATTTTAATTACTGTCAAAATTTGAAAAATAAAAAGAATCAATTTTCTAAATAATGAAAAATTTTTCAGTTCTTAAAATGTTGCAAACATAAATTTTATAGGGTGATACAATTTATTTCTAGTTATAAGTTGAGTAGCATATGCGTCTTTTAATAAAAGGTTAAATTTAATTTTAAATATAAACAAATTGAATGGAAAGCTAAATTTAAGAATTGACTATTTACTACTGTGTGCAACAAGAGATCATAAGAAGAATTTAAAGTGCTTCGTTCAATCCAAGGTTCATTGAACGGACAAATCTCTATTATGAAGGCCGTTTGTAAACGTGATTTATCAATTAGTATTGTGCCAATAATAGAATTGGTCCTGAAATATATAACTCTCTACATCTTGTGATTCTATAATAGAAAACCCTTTTTTTATTTATGTGACGCTTTACGTTGAAAGGGATTTTAGCTGCGCAAACAATGTTTAGTGATAGTTTTAGCTTGATTAAACGTTTATTTTTAATTAAATGTAAATCAAAATCATTTTTTATTATTGAATATTTTGGATCTAATGAAAACATAAGCATCAGTGCTTTGTATTAAGAAATAATCATCTTTTTGTAGCATCATTCCTAAAATTTGTTTGCATCTAAGATCTCTTTCATCGTGGAGCCATCAAAATTTTTGATCTTCTCCATCACAATTTCAAGGGAAAAATTTTATTCGACCGCTAGAGAAACTCGCAAAAAAATCTGCAATAACATTTTATTAAAAGACAAATACTTTTTTCAAAATGCAATCATATTAAGAACGCATGATTATTCCCCACATTAGATCTGTCGTAATTTTTGCTGTGTCATATTAAAAATTATATAATTTTTATATTTGTTCGAAATTACAATTTACAAAATTATTAAAACGCCGAATTTTTATTTTACAAAACTTTTATTGGTCCAAATAAATGACAGTAAAATTTTAGGGGCAAATTTTTAAATAAATCCACAAAAATTAGTTAAATTATTCTTGATTGGTTATTTATAAAATTAGTTCCTAAATTTTTTGGTCAGATATTTATTTGGACAAATGAAAGTTCTGTAAAATAAAAATTCGTCGTTTTATAATAATTCTGTAAAATGTAAATTCGGTTAGAAAAGAATTCTTTTCAATATTTTTTCTGTAAAATAATTTTTTTTTTTAAATAACTATTCCGTACAATGAAATTCTGGCATTTAAAAATTCGATTGAATGAGAATTGTGTTAAATTAAAATTCTTTTAAATAAAAGATCATTAAAAAAAATGACTGTAAAATAAAAAATTTTCCAAACAAAAATTAGGTAGCTAAAAATTTTTTTATGGGAAAATTATAGTATCATAAGAAAATCCATAAAATTTTAATTCAAAAATTGAAAATTCGTCTATAAAATAATTATTTCTAATAAAATAATTTAAAATAAAAATTCTAATTAATGATTTTTATGGGACAATCTTGAACTCCGTTTTTTTTAATCGAAATTTGAATGATGAAATTTTAAAAATGAAAAAAATTTTGAAAAATCAATTTTAAGATTCATGAAGGTAAAAGAAGTTTGGATAAAATATGTTACGGTTCGGATTATAGAGGTTCCACACTGTACTATTAAATTTGGAATATTTCAAAATTTAACTCACGATAGTTTTTAGATTTTTTGAAAATATTTTCAAGTTTATTATGAATTTTTTTCTTAAAAATTTTTCGAATCTGATTGGTGGAAATTATTGCATGTTATTTAGAATTTCAGTAACATTTTTGAGTGCAAAATTTTGAAGATTTGAATTTATAAAAATTTTAATAATTAATCTAACTTAAAAAAAGTCTCATTTTATACTTATTACAAAAATTGCATTTATTGATAAAAGTCGAAGAAGGACTTTATTTTTTATATTTTGTTAAAATTATTTTAAAAAAAACAGTGCCATACAAAGACTTTTAGTCAAAATTACGTACTTTTTGTACACGGAGAAAAATGGAAAAACGAATAAAGTAATTTTTACTATACTTTAAAAGTAAAACCGGAACTGTCTGCAGTTCTTGTGCATTTCTGACAATTTTTACTTCAGAAGTAACAAAATTTATTATTTCCGGAATAATTTTTACTATTACAGGAGTAAATTTTACACTATTTCTGGAGTAAAAATTGACAGAAACTACGGACAGTTCCGGTTTTACTTTTAAATGTAGTAAAAGATACTTTATTCGTTTTTCTATTTTTCTCTCCGTGTACTTTTTTTTTAAATCAAAATTACAGACTATTACATACTATTTTAAACATTTTGTTCATTTTCTTAATTTATGCACTTGGTTCGAGGCCTGATTTTATTTTTTTTTTATAAAAATCAAATATGCACGAAAAGAAGAAATTAATCATTTCGATGGTATTGCATGTAAAGGTTTTGGTGACGAGTTTTGTGAATGGAATGACTTGCAGTATACTTATATATAGGTTTGCATAAAATTAACATACATTTCCATGTTATGAGACAATTGCAAGGACTTGCAGTGCGAATTTCATGTAGGATAAGCATTTTTGGCAAAATAAGTGGTATGGGCGTATATGGGCAAATCCACGAAACTTTTAACTTTTGTGATTCTCGAATCGAACACTTAGAAATCTGAATTATTTTTAATTATAAAACTTTTGGTATCATTTTAAAAAAAAATCAATTGAACGTCTTCTTATGAAAATATCTATTACGGCGTTGGATTAAAATAAAAGTTCAATGCATTCCTTAAAAGGTGATGAAAAAACAAAACTTTTAAGACCTTCTTGATGTGATGATGTGCCTCTAATTGTGTTTCTGTTACAACAATTTAAATATGATAATAAAAACCGTGATTTCATTTAAATTTATACATTTTTGAAAGGCACAACTGCATTTTTGCTTTAAACAGGTCAATATATGGTGTGATAGAAACATTTTCATACATATATTTGAACACAAAAACGCCGCTTAAGGATTTTGAGTGAAATAAATTTTATTAAGTTAAGACTATGCAGAAAACACTTTTTTGGAGTCTTTACCCCCTCTTTTATCAAAATCCTGACGTGCTAAGTAAATTTGGGTGCCAGAATCGTGTTCAGAGGACGAAAATACTTTGGAAACCACTCCGATATCAAAAATAAAAAAAGTTGAATTTTTCAATTTTATATGTAATTTATTAACATTAAAGAGTTTAAAGAGTTAAACATTGACGGCGTGAGCTAAAAAGGAATCACACATATCAATCACAGAAAAAAAGGTGGGTAAAAAGTTGTAAAGATAGAGGATAAAAGTTGTTAGGATACAGGGTAAAGGATAAATTTGTGATGGATAAAAATGTTACTAAAATACTACTAGAAAAATGGATGTCATATTTGAGTAAACTGTCTAATTTTAATAAAAGTATTAGTAATTTTACACTTAACTTATTAAATCCACAAATGTTTTATAAATAAGTAATTGCATGTGGAAATATTTTGCCTATTAATTATTGTCTATTAATAAAAATATCTTTGACTAAGACAGCTGACGACAGAGCGTAAATAATCAGAACTGGGAAATTACAACTCAACGTCTGTATTGTTGCACGAAAGCAGAGTTGGGTAGTAACTGAATTTTTTGTGCATATTAGGCTGTGTCAGTTCATCGAGATATTTCGAGTTCAAGATATGACGTCAGAGGTCTGGAGGGACAACAAACAGACGACACAATGTTATTCTTACGGGGAAGAAAATTTGTTTCCACTTTCATCAATTTTATTCATACTTTACACATGGAAAACGCTTGTTGACATATAATAAAATTAAAATGTGTGTTGATAATTAATTTTGTTATATATTTGATTCAATTGCATTTATAGATTCTCTGAATTCGTGATAAAATATAAATTTTGAGGTTAGGGGTGTTTGTTTACTAACTTGAAATCTTTTACTGCTACGGTAATTCCCACTCAAAATATATATTTTACCTATATCTTTTTTAATAGCATGCATACTGGATATTGTTTAATAATGTTGTTAAAATGTAAAATGTGATTAGTAAACTAACTTTTCTAACCTCAAAATTTATATTGTATCACGAATTCAGAGAATCTAATAAATGCAATTGAGTCAAATATATAACAAAATTAATTATCAACACACATTTTAATTTTATTATATGTCAACAAGCGTTTTCCATGTTTAAAGTATGAATAAAATTGATGAAAGTGGAAACAAATTTTCTTCCCCGTAAGAATAACATTGTGTCGTTTGTTTGTTGTCTCTTCAGGCCTCTGACGTCATATATTGAACTCGAAATATCTCGATGAACTGACACAGCCTAATATGCACAACAAATTCAGTTACTACCCAACTCTGCTTTCGTGCAACAATACAGACGTTGAGTTGTAATTTCCCAGTTTTGATTATTTACGCACTGTCGTCAGCTGTCAGTTGTATTAGTCAAAGATATTTTTATTAATAGACAATAATTATAGGCAAAATATTTCCACGTGCAATTACTTATTTATATAAAATTTGTGGATTTAATAAGTTAAGTGTAAAATTACTAATATTTTTATTAAAATTAGACAGTTTACTCAAATATGACATTCATTTTTCTAGTAATATTTTAGTAACATTTTTATCCATCACAAATTTATCCTTTACCCTGTATCATAACGACTTTTATCCTCTATATTTACAACTTTTTACCCACCTTTTTGTCTGTGAATTTGTAGTGCTAAAATGTACATAAACGTGTATACAAAGTGACAACAATGTACCTGCAAATGAAAAAAAGAAATTTTTTTTCTTGAAAGTTAAAAGTTTCGTGGATTTGCCCATATAATTATAAATATTGAAGAAAAGAGAGAGAGAGAGAGAAAGAGGGAGGAAGACTTACATCTTTGTAAATTCGATACTGATCAATGGCCCATACTGTAGGTACGTGGGTGGTAAGTAACTGCGATAATGAAACATGTTTGTTACAAGCTCGGGCACAAATTAGTCTGGTTTTTCCAACAGCAGTGTCCCCCACAACAACGCACTTGACCAATTCTTGGTGGGGTTGCTCATTGTCCATCACCGGCTATCTCCCCTTTTCATCCAATTTATCTTGTCTCGTTCCAGTTCGTTCCAAATTCTAACTGTTGCTTCGAAAATAATTGTTAACCCTCCCGGGATACGCGTCCAAAACATTCGCCCTGTAAATAAAAAAAGAAGGAAAAAAAAGTAAAATACAATAACAATTTTTCTTCTCCTTTATATCTATATCTGACATGTGTAGACTTTTCTGATGGTAAACCACATCATATTTCACAGCAATGTTCATCTTTTTTTTTTATTTTTTTTTACTTCGAAAATTCTCGGCACATTTTGCAATTTCAGGTGATTTATGGATCTGTACGGTATGCCAAAAGGGAAATGGAATTGTGAAGAGTATATTTCTTTGATTTGTTTGCCCTTTTCAAAGAAGTCTACAAATTTAACGAACGTAGTAAATTGAAATATTGTAAAATTAAAAAAATATGATAAATGTATTACAATTTTATTTTTAAGAATGACGAAAATAGAAAAATTTACATATAGCTTCTTATCAATTTTCCAGTATAGCTTTTGGGGTTGGAGGCGACTTTTACTTAAGAGAGTGCGTCGAACGGTCTTTGAAAGTATTTTAAAATCTACACACAAAAAAATGCCAGTGTAATTTTACTACGTCGGACGTTAGAAAAAAATGACCACGCGTCGGACACAGTAAAAATACTTTCATCAAGTTGTAAATATACAAACCGGAAAGTTAAAAGGTTACATAACCTAAAAGTTGTTTTTTATATTTTATAAATTTTTCACTTATTCTGTTTCTTTCAGTTAAATAAGTATACTTTTCTTTTGTAAAATACCATTTTATGATATTACAATACATAACAAGTAGGGGGTCCTTTATGTTTATTTCATAAACATTATGCTTCCTCATTGTGTGAAGCAAAAAATTCGCTTCCTCGTGAAGGAAGTAATGAATTTGTTCAATTCAATTGATTGATTTAAAAACTTTCGAATTAAAAATGTTTTAAATTAATTAAATTTTTTGAAAAATAAAGAAAATTTTAATTAATTTTGAGTGTAAAATAAACTTTATATATACGAATCGATTCGTTTTAATGCAAGGAATACAATTATTTTATTCATCAACTTGAATTTAAAAAAAACACAAAATTTTTTAGCTAAAATATGAATTTTCGATTTTTCAATTTTTATTAATTCTCAAATTTTAAATCAAATCTATACTTTATATATACCAACCAATTTGTTTCAATGCAAGGAATAAAATTATTTCATATATAAACATGAATTTAAATAAACACATCATTTTTTAGCTAAAATGAGAATTTTTGATTTTTTAACTTTCATTAATTCTTTAAATTTCAATCAAATCTATACTTTATATATATCAATCGATTCATCTTGACATAAAGAAGACGATTATATTATATATTACCTTAAATTTTTCGATTTAAAAATTTTTTCAATTAAAAAAAATTTTTTGGAAAAAAGACGATAAAATTTTTTTTTTTTGGGTATTTTTAAAAATCCTCTCGTCATTTTTGAGAGATTAATTTGTTAAATAAGCCTACCAAATTTTATCCAAATTCATTAAAACCTGTTAAAGATATCGTGTTCACAAAAACGATCCACACACACATACACACACACACATACATACATCCGGACAATTGATCAGGATCTCATATAACATGTTTCTATATAGAGGAAAATTTGTTTTCACCATTTTTAAAAAGTTTATAAACGAAAGGACTACATAGCTTCCTCCACGAGGAAGCAAAATTAATTAAAAAATTCGCAATTTTATTAGAAAGTTAGTGTTATTTGTAATAATTTAAGGTGGTTTAAAAAGAAATAATACATAGTTGCACATATTTTTTTCAAAATAAAGTAATTTTGACCAGCATTTTACCCATTTTTCATCCATATATTTTGGTACACTTAAAGTGTATACCAAATTTGAAGTCGATTCATTAAAATTTGTTCGAGTTATCGTCGGACCAAATTTTGTCTACAGACATACATACATACATACAGACAGACATTTTTTTAAGACCCATTTTTTCGGCATCAGAAAGTCTCAAAACGTCGAGATTCACTGAAATTAGAGAAGGCTCAAAATCGCCCAAATGTAATACCTTCTCATTATGATGAGAATTTAAAAAAATCATTAAATTTTTAATTTTGAAAAAAAACAGTTTTTTAAAAATATTTCAAAAACTATATTATATGGGAATTTTTGTCAAAGAGAAAAAAAAATGCGCAATAAAATTCTCCATCGGAATATGTTTACAAAAAACTAAAATTGAAAAAAATAATTTTGTCTACTCAGGGGCCAACTAATTTGAGCGTCAGAAAATTATAATTGATTTTTTGATTGGGACCCTGAATTTGGTAACACTATAGTGGTTAGAAATGCCTACACTTTTTGTCCTTTTCTAACGCACGTGTTGTCATGGCAACACGCGTGACAAAGAAAAAAAAGTGTAGGCATAATTATCTAGCCACGGCCACAAGTGTTCAACTGTCAGTTACTGAAACATTGTCATCAGGGTTCGGAATCTAAATTACTATGTACAATTTACAGTAGAACATCCAAAATGTGACATCACTTTTTCGAGTGAGATTTTTAAAGGCATTTACACGCATCTTACTAATTTAAAATTAGATTTTTTAAATATTTCTGAAAAATACTATTGTAGAACAAACCTCAAATATGATTTGAAAAATATTTTTAACCTATAAAAACACTTATTATTTTCTTTTTTATTCTACTTATTATGCAAATAAAAAGTTTACCTAATGCTATATATAATAAAATTATTCCATGTTACTTTTATCTGCAACCAATAAAAAATTTGATCATAGTTTTATTATTACAAAAGATATGACATAAAAAAATTCGTTTCTATTTTATATATAATTTAAACTTTTAAGACTATTATATGACGAACGTGAATATATATGAAAGCAAATAATAATATAAAACTAGAACTCAATATTTTGTAAATAAATATGTAGTAAGTAGTAAAAGGCTGTTTTAGTCAGACTTAGTATTTTTGAAATATTTATAATAGTATATCTATAGTAAATGGCAGTTTCAACCCCCCCACAGCACCTAAAATTTTAGCAATATTGCCAACATTGACTCAATAATGTCACTATGTATTTCTGCAATGTTGCAGCAATTTTAGAATATTGAGGCAATGTTGCGAATATTGTTGCAAGTTTAGGTGCTGTGTGGAAATGTTTTGAATTCTTGTAAAATTGGTATATGTCAATTCAGGCTTCGAAGTGACACACTTTTCCACTTTTTTGACACTTTTTTTGGTCAGGGCTACTTTTTGATACTAATTTGGGCAAAAAGCTACTAAATGCTATACTTTTTTCCAAAAAAAGGTAAAAAAAATTGACAGAATTCAAGAATTTTAGTTTTTTTAAATGAATTTTGTTGATTTCAAAAAGCCCTCCAATTAATGAAATTTATTATTGAACGCGTGAACTTTATATGATTAAATGACAACTTCTCGCAGCTTGATTGATATTGTCATAAATGGCCAGCCATAACCTACAGGTTTTTCTTGACATAACCTCAAAGATTTATAGGTTGCGACGTCACTGTCTATGAATTTGAAGTCAGATTTTCAAAATCCAAAATGATGGATCCAATATGATGGTAGAATTTTTAAAAAATTACACTAGAACTCCCGAACTATATTCTGCCGTGTTTTCTAAAAACTTAGGTAACTGCAAAAAAATCGAAAAATGAGTTTTTTATATCGTTGGAATCGTGGAAAAAAGATACACCTGTTAATGCAAATTATTTTTAAAAATTGTTAATATTATTAATAATAATTTTTGCATAAATAATTGAAAATACCGGTAACTGCAAAAATTGATGAGTGACAATTTGAGAAACTTAGGTAACTGCTATAAAAACTTGGGTGTCTTTGGGTGTTGTGACGTATTTTGTAGGTCGTGATTTGAAGAACTTAGGTAACTGCACCAGTGCCTAAGTTTCTCAAAACACGGACCTCATTTTTCGAGCCCTCGTCGCATGGAAAACTTAGGTAACTACAGAGTGCTATCAGAGCACTGTAGTTACCTAAGTTTTCTATGCGACGAGGCCTCGAAAAAGGAGGTCCGTGTTTTGAAGGACCAAGTAACTGCAAAATCTTATACATTTCTTTAAAATTACAATGTTTTTTGTGCAATTAATAATTTATAATGACAATAAATAATGAAATAAAAAACTCCAATACTATATATATATAATTATACCTAAATAATAATTTATCAATTATTGAAAAATTAAGTATTAATTTTAATAAATAACATAAAAGCATTAATAAATTAAGAAAATGAAGTTCAGTAATATGTTTATTTCATGATTAATATATAATTAATTTAGTTCAATTATTTAAAAAATTAAAATCGTTTTTAATTATTTAAATAAACGTTAATAAAGCAGCGAACTACATTACCTACAATAATTTGACTTTAATATTGTAAAATTAAAATAAATTCAATCATTTAGTTTAATATTTGTAAAAAACAATAATTCTAATGATAACTTTCGCATCTTATTAAATAATTACACTTTATTATATATTATTTATTTTTATATTATTTTTCTTTATTTTATTTAATATAATTATTTAATATATTTTTACTATTTTTTAATTTTTTTTATGTATTTTATTGTATTTTATATTATTATTTAATATATTCTGAGTTAATACAATATTTGACTCTAATATTGTATAATTAAAATAAATTTAACCATAAAATTAAATATTTGTAAAAAACAATAATTATAGTGACAACTTTCGCAGCTTATTAAATAATTATAGTTTATTATTTAATATATTTTTACTATTTTTTGCCCAGAAAGATGAAAATTCTTATATATTCCCTGCAGTTACCTAAGTTTTCTGTGCGACGAGAGGCCTAATACGGGCGCTCGTAGCACGAGGGACCAAGTAACTACCAGTTACCTAAGTTTCTCGTGCGACGACCCTCGAATCAGCATACCGGTAACTACATTTTTAATAATTTATTGAATGTTTAAACAAATACAACATTTATTTTTACATAATTAAAAAGAATAAATTTAGACGAATCGAAGGAACAAAACGGCATT